TTGTTCGACCGTTATGGCTGCCGAAAGGGAAGCTGGTTCCTTCAGTATTTCCCCTTAGTCTTTTATTTTTTTATCTGCTCATATTCAATTCAGTGTAGGTTAATGCCTTTGATGCCCCCACTCCCACCCCAGGACCTCTGAGATGCATAGGTAGAAATCTGGAAAAGAAGTCAATAAAGTGCCATACTCTAGAAAGAGAAAGTTTGCCAAGGAGGTAGACTGCTCTGAGGTCTGGGGTAGTGCCTGAACAGAGGCACTGTAATTGATCACATAGAGTTGAATGTATTGTCATTTTCCATCCCTCTAGAATGGGCTTTCGAGATGAGGCAGCTGGGTATTTTCATAAAGCTGTGAAGCTAAATCCTGATTTCAGTGATGCAAAGGAGAACTTTTACCGTGTTGCCAACTGGCTGGTGGAACGCTGGCACTTCATCATGCTTAATGACACCAAGAGGAATAGGATTTACAATGCAGCAATCCAGAAGGCAGTGTGCTCGGGGTCCAAGAGTGTTTTGGATATTGGCACAGGAACTGGAATACTGAGGTTTGTTGTAATTATTGAATAAACAGTTTTGTTAGATTCCAAAATTGTAACATTGGAATATAAAAATAGCAGTTGTCTTTCATACTGTTGTTAGAGTTATTCATGTAACTATTCTTTCCTCTCTCTTTTTTGAGACAGGATTTCTCTGTAATATACCTGGCTGTCCTGGAACTCACTTTTGTAGACCAGGCTGGCCTCAGACTCACAGAGATCTGCTTGCCTCTGCCTCCTGGGGGCTGGGATTAAAGGCATGTATCACCATCACCTTGCTTGATGCAATTATTAGTATTGTACTTTTTACTATGATTTTACTTATCAAAAGTTCAAGAAAACTAAGAGAAACTCGGGGTTACTGAAATTCTGTGTAATGAATTTTAGAGCATTTTTTATAGTAACATTTTGGTGGAATCTAGAAAGCTTATTAAGCAAACTTCTTGCAGGTTGTGTCTTAATTGTGTGGATGGTGAGCCAGACGTGGTGGCATACTCCTTTAATCCCAGTACTCATGAGACAATGGCAGGCAGATCTCTGACTTTGAGGTTAATCTGATCTACATAGTGAGTTGCAGGTCAGACAATGCTATGTAGAAAGACCCTGTCTCAAAAAACAAACAAAACAAAAAAAAGTTTGAATATTATTTATTGAATGATCTGTTTTTAAACAAATATACAAGAATACTAGTTCATTTTTTCTTTTTTTTAAATATTATTATTACTTTTTTTTTTTTTTTTTTTTTTTGGAGGCAGATTTTCTCTTTGTAGCCCTGGCTGTCCTTGAACTCACTCTGTAGACCAGGCTGGCCTTGAACTCACACAGATCTACCTGCCTCTGCCTTCTGAGTGCTGAAATTAAAGATATGCACCATGGTACCCGGCTTCATTTATTGTTATTTTTTTTAATCTTAATTTTTTTAAGCCTTTTTGAGATAGTGTCTCACTATGTATCTTTGGCTGGCCAGGACCTTGCACTCGAGTGCTCTATCTCTCTCTCTCTATGTATGTATGTATGTATGTATGTATGTATGTATGTATGTATATATATATATAGTTTTGTTTTGTGTTTTTTTGCAGTGGGGCGTTTCAAGACAAGGTTTCTCTTTGTAGCTTTGGCTGTTCTGGAACTGGTTCTATAGACCAGACTGGCCTTGAACTCACCTGCCTCTGCCTCCTGAGTGATGGAATTAAAGATGTGCTCCACTTGGGGCTGGAGAGATGGCTCAGCAGTTAAGAGCACTATTTGCTTTTGCAGAGGTCCTGAGTTCAATTCTCTGCAACCACATGGTGACTCACAACCACCTATAATGAGATCTGGTGCCCTCTTCTGGCCTATAAGAATATGTGCAGGTAGAACATTGTATACATAATAAACAAGTCTTAAAAAAAAAAAAAAACTAAAAAAAAAAAAAAAAAAAAAAAAAAGATGTGCTCTATTACCACCTGGCTTAAGTAGATTATTTTCTCCTTCCACTGTGGGTTTCAGGGATTGAATTTGCGTTGTCAGACTTGAATGGCAGATACCTTTACCCATTGGGCTGTCTTGCTAGCTCTCATCTTTTTTTTTTTTTTTTTTTTTTTTTTTTTTTTTTTTTTTTTTTTTTATGACAGGGTTTCTCTCTGGCTTTTGGGGCTGTCCTGGAACTAGCTCTTGTAGACCAGCCTGGTCTCAGACTCACAGAGATCCACCTGCCTTTGCCTCCCGAATGCAGGGATTAAAGGCATGCGCCACCAATGCCCGGCGCTAGCTCTCATCTTTTAAGTGCAGAACAAATAATAGCTATATTGAAGAACGGAAAGATGATCCCATGTTTGAAGAATCATAATTTTGGGATTCATAATTTTATTAAAATTGGAAAAAGATACAATGGATTTTTCTTCTTTTGCAGCATGTTTGCTAAAAAGGCTGGTGCACATTCAGTATACGCCTGTGAATTATCCAAGACCATGTATGAACTTGCCTGTGATGTAGTGGCTGCAAACAAGATGGAAGATGGGATTAAGCTCCTACATATGAAGTCACTTGATATAGAAATTCCAAAACACATTCCTGAAAGGTGTGTTTATAATTCACCAATACGTGAAGATACATTTCTAGCTTCTCGTGTTAACAAAAGTATTAATGTCCTTATTTTGTGATGGTACAGTTGTCAGCCAGTTTAATAAGATACAGGATTTTATAATAACATGCTTTTTAAAAAATACCTAAAGACTCAAGAAAAACTGATAGTGAGGAATTTAACAAAAACCTTTCTTTAACACATTACATAACTCATGCTTTTTTGTCCATAAAAGTAGATAGACTTCCTGTGAGTCAACAGTGTAGTTGTTTAAAGTGTGAACAGTTCACATCAGCAGACATCACATTTGCATGACTGTCCTTGATTAAAATGAAAGTTTAGAAGTGCCAGTTAACAGAGTATTTTGCCTTGTGTCCTTCAAATGCTGTAAGTACAGTTTTAGAGGCTTGTGTTTTCATCTGCATCCCACTGTCAGGAGATCGGTGGAAGATTAGAATAGAAGGGGTTTAAATATCATCTGGCCCATCATTTTAAAGAATCCCCCCCCTTTTTTTTTAAACTGTAACACTTCCTTTGGAACTGTGCCTGTGCTGTCTTCTGATTTAGTTAAATGTAGTCTACATGTAAAGAGTTTTTTTTGGTGCTCTATTTGTTATTTGAACTCTGGTTTTTAAGTCTTCTTCTTTCATATTTTTTTGTTGTTGTCGTGTTCCTCCCCCCCTCCCCCACAGGGTTTCTCTGTATATCCTTGGCTGTCCTGGACTCATTCTGTAGACCAGGCTGGCCTTGAATTCACAGAGATCCACCTGCCTCCCCACCCAGTGCTGGGATTAAAGGCATGTGTCACTACTGCCCAGCTTTTTCTTCCAGTTTTAATAATGTGTGCATGGTACTTATACTTTTCAGTGGTCTCTTTTTTTTTTTTTTTTTTTTTTTTGGTTTTTCAAGACAAGGTTTCTCTGTGTAGCTTTGGAGCCTATCTTGGCACTCGCTCTGGAGACCAGGCTGGCCTCGAACTCACAGAGATCCGCCTGCCTCTGCCTCCTGAGTGCTGGGATTAAAGGCATGCGCCGCCAACGCCTGGCTTCAGTGGTCTTTGTTAATGAAGAAGTTTATCAGATTGTTAATGCAGGTGTATACTCATTTTATAAAAAACAAAACCAAACAAACAGTCCTAAGTTGTCACAGAATTTAAAAAAACAGACATAATTTTTCAGGTAGGTTTTTTCCTGGCTGCAGTTGTCTGCCTGATTTTTGTGTCCTCATGTGACCTTTCCTCTGTGTGTGACTTATTACTAGTGTTTATTCTTTCAGTAGGACACCAATCCTGTTGAATTAAGACCTCTTGTTGGTGACTTCATTTTTATCCTTAATTGCCTCCTAAGGGCTCTGTCTCCAAATAGAGGATTAGGACTTCCATGTAAGATTTGGAATGGCATGAAGCTAAAGTTACTTTTATTTGTATTTTCCTCATGGACCTCTTTTGAATCAGGCAAGATAGGTATTTCAAGTCAGATTATTATTTTTTTTTAAGACATATTAAGCAGTTTATTATACCCATCAGAGTAGGGTATAATAGAGAAGAGAAACAGAGTAAATGGCTGACCACCATGGCCGGTTGCCATAGAGAGAGAGAGAAGAGAAGCAGAAGCAGACAGAGAAGAGGAGAAGAGTAGAGAGTGTAGAGAGAGAAATGTAGAGAGCCAATTCAGATTCTTATTGTTCACTTTGCCCATAAGTAAATTTCTGGACTAAGTTGTAGGACAGATGATTTGAGGTACTTTTCATATTCTAAGTGTATACAGTCTAAGTATTGAAACTTTTTTTGTCTGTAGGTCTAATTGGGTCTAGGTACTGTGGAAGATACCCAGGTCAGTCCAACCCTTAAGATACCTACAGATCACCGGGCGTTGGTGGCATATGCCTTTAGTCCCGGCACTAGAGAGGCAGAGGCAGGCAGATCTCTGTGAGTTCCAGGCCAGCCTGGTCTACAAAGTGCGTTAGAGGACAACCTCCAAAGCAATACAGAGAAACCCTGTCTCGAAAAACCAAACCAAAACAACAACAACAAAAAGATACCTATAGATCTAGAGAGGAATGTAAGGAATAGTTAGGACATTTTTGTAGTATCTTTAGACGCCAAAAGTGAATCATGCCAGCAGTGAAGCTAAAGGAATTCAGAGAAGGGAAAAATTATTTCTGAGTGTCTTTGAGTTTTCTAGAAAGATTGAATGAATGAATAAAAGAGTGTAACTCTGGAGTAGGTTTTTGTGAAGACTAGAGAAGTGGTAAGAGAGGCACAGTCAGATATGTGTAATATTATAGAAGATTAGAGATACAATTTTTGGAAGAGAAAATTCTTGTCCACATTAAATGCTATTTGCATATCAAAAATTATAATTGGACTGGCAAGGTGGCTCACTAGATAAAGACATGTGTGCCAAGCCTGTGTTCAAACCCTCAAACCACAAGGTAGAAAGAAGGAGAGAGCAGTCTCAGACAGCCACATATGTACTGTGGCATGCCCATACCCACAGAAATAGTTTGTATATGTATTCACACATAAAGCTTTTTTTTTTTTTTTAAAGATAGATGAAAAAGAAAATTGATTTCTGGCCTTTAATCCCAGCACTTGGTAGTCAGAGGCAGGATGATCTCTGAGTTTGAGGCCAGCCTGGTCTACAGAGGGAGTTCCAGAACAGCCAGGGCTACAAAACCCTGCCTCAAAACAAAACAAAACAAAACAAAAATTCATTTTCAGAAGGGTCATTGATGTAGAGAATCTATGGATGTATTCCCTCTCTGATTTGTTTTTGCTGTTTTAATGCAGGGTTTCATGTAGCCCAGGCTAGCTTCATACCCACTATGTAGTCTAAGATTACCTTTAACTTCTGCCTGATCCTCTTGTTTCCACATCCCAAGTTCTACTAAGCTAGTAGAAAAGCATTTGTATGGAGTGTTAGAGTTAGAAGCTCAATGTTTGATGTTCAGGAAGGGAGCAGTAAAGATGTGAATACCAGTTATCTTAAGGACTCAGGCAGTGAATGAAAGGGTAGGAAGGCAAACCCTTTTATGTCCAGAGTAAGGAAAAGAGAGGAGCCAAGGGACACCCCAGGGTTCAGGGGAAGATGCTTAAATTAAATGCATTAGAAAAATAGCATGTCATTTTACTAACATGTGTCTTTAAAACATCATTCTATAGAGTGTCCCTAGTTGTAACAGAAACTGTCGATGCAGGTGTGTTTGGAGAAGGAATTGTGGAGAGTTTAATTCATGCATGGGAGCATTTACTTCTGCAACCTAAGGTAAGCATCAAGAAAACACTCAAATCTGATTAAGAATTCATTACTAAGAAGTGCATTGAGCCCTGGGAATGTTCACAAGACAGGAAGGAAATATATCAGAGTATGTCTATCCCTGGAGAGAAACACAAGAAAAAGCACCGACAGCCATGTATCACAGTGTGTGCTGTATGGACCCATAAGGGTTACAGATGAGATACAATAGGGAGGGATTCGTATGAGTGATCTTATTTGTGGAGGGACCGATTAACGTTCTTGAGTATAGTTGTAGAAAAGGGAAGCACTTTGAATCTCACAGTGCCAGTGCTTGGAATTTTGGCAGATCTCTAGAAAAGAGGAAAGTAATACTAGTTCTGTAATGTTTTAAGGTACTCAGTGAGTTCAGGCTACTAGGCAGAACACTGAACTCTTCTACTATAGTCCCTAAGCCATATATATATATATTACAGTTCATCTATCATATACATTGTATATATTAAGGGACCTCAATAAAATCTGTTTATAGAATATGATATATATTTAACATAGAATAGCAGTTTATTTTTTAAATAAATAATGACTTTGATATTTTTCTTTCTTTTTTTATTTTGGTGCTGAGTTGAACTTGGGGCCTCACCCACGGTTCGTGCTGTCTACTGCTCAGCTATATTTTATGTTTGAATGTTTTGCCAGTGTGTGCCTGTCGAGAGTGTGTGTGTGTGCATCTGCCACTTGTGTGCAGTGCTCGTGGAGTCAGAAGGCATCACATCCTATGGAGCTGGAGCTAGACCTGGTTGTGAGCTGCTTGTGGTTGCTGGGAATTGAACTGGGGTCTTCTGCAAGAGTAGCCAGTGCTCTTAACCTCTGAGTCATCTCTGCAGTCCCTCCATTTTTAGTTTTTTGTTTGTTTTCAAGACAAAGTTTTTCTGTGTAGCCCTGGCTGTCCTGAGACTCTTATCTGTAGACCAGGTTGGCATCAAACTTTTGAGATCTGCCTGCCTCTACCTTCCAAGGGCTGGGATTAAAGACTGGTGCCACCACTGTCAGCTCTTTTTATTTTTTTTTATTAAATTACATCATAGCTTTATAACTCTCTCTTCCTCTTTGTACTTGTATTCTAAACATTAAATTACACACACACACACACACACACACACACACACACACACATTCTTTTTTTAATTTAAATTAGAAACAAGATTCTTTTACATGTCAATCTCAGTTCCCTCTCCTCCTCCCCTGCCCCCGACTGACTCCCTATCCCAGCTGCTTTCTGCTCCCAGGGAGGGTGAGTTCTTTCATGGGGGATCTTTAAAGTCTGTCATATCATTTGGAGCAGGGCCTAGATCCTCTTCCGTGTGTCTAGGAGATAGTATCCCTCTGTGTGGAGAGGGCTCCCAAAGTTTTTTGTGTACTAGAGGTAATTACTGATCCACTACCAGTAGCCCCATAGATTGTCCAGACATGCAAACTGACTTCCTCCTTCAGGGGTCTGGAACAGTCCTATGCTGGTTTCCTAGCTATCAGTCTGGGGTCCATGATCAACCCCTTGTTCAGGTCAGCTGTTTCTGTGGGTTTCTCCAGGCTGGTCTTGACCCCTTTGCTCATCACTCCTCCCTCTCTGCAACTGGATTCCATATTCAGCTCAGTGTTTAGTTGTGGGTGTCTGCTCTGCTTCCATCAGCTACTGGATGAAGGCACTAGATGGCATATAAGGTAGTTATCAACCTCATTATCGGAGAAGGGCATTTAAGGTAGCCTCTTGACTATTGCTAGGATTGTTAGCTGGGGTCAAGCTTATAGATCTTGGACCTTTCCTAATATCAGAAATTTCTATAAACCTGTATGTAATGGCTCCCTCTATGATAGTATCTCTTTTTCTTGCTCTCCTTTATTCTACCCATGATTAGATCTTCCTGTTCCCTCATGTCCTCCTCTCCCCTCTTCTCCCCTTCTCTTCTAACTCCCTCTCCCCTCTCCCCATGTTCCCCATTAGCTTAGGAGATCTTGTCTCTTTTCCCTTCTCTCTGGGACTATATATGTCTTTCTTAGGGTCCTTCTTGTTTCCTAGCTTTTCTGGTGTTGTGGATTGTAGGCTGGTACTTCTTTGCTCTAGATCTAAAATCCATATATGAGTGATTACATACCATTTTTGTCTTTTTGCAACTGGGTTACCTTACTCAGGATGGTTTCTTCTAGTTCCATCCATTTGCCTTTGAATTTGCAGATTCCATTGTTTTTTTTCCCGCTGAGTAGTTCTCCATTGTGTAAATGTACCACATTTTCTCCATCCATTCTTCAGTTGAGGGGCATCTAGGTTGTTTCCAGTTTCTGGCTGTTACAAATAATGCTGTTATGAACATGGTTGAACAGATGTTCTTGTTACATGAATGTGCTTCTTTTGGGTATATGCCTAAGAGTGGAATTGCTGGATCTTGTGGTAGATTGATTCCCATTTTCCTGAGGAACCACCATATTGATTTCCAAAGTAGCTGTGTGAGTTGGCACTCCCACCAGCAGTGGAGGAGTGTTCCCCTTTTTCCACTTCCTCTCCAGCAAACACTGTCATTGGTGTTTTTGATTTTAGCCATCTGACAGGAGTAAGAGCGTATCTCAGAGGTTGTTTTGATTTGCGTTTCCCTGATAGCTAAGGATGTTTTGTACTTTCTTTTGTATCTTTCAGCCATTTTAGATTCCTCTATTGAGAATTCTCTATTTAGTTCTGTACCCTACTTTTTAATTGGATTAGTTGGTGTTTCGGAGACTAGCTTCTTGAGTAAATTTTGGATATCAGCCCTCTGTCAGATGTGGGATTAGTGAATGTCTTTTCCCATTCTGTGGGCTGCTGTTTTTTGTCTTTTTGATTGTGTCCTTTGCCTTCCAGAAGCTTCTCGGTTTCAGGAGGTCCCATTTATTAATTGTTAATCTCAGTGTCTGTGCTACTGGGAAGGAGTCTCCTGTACCAATTCGTTTGAGGGTACCACCTACCTTCTCTTCTAAGAGGTTCAGCGTGGCTAGATTTATGTTGAGGTCTTTGATCCATTTGGACTTAAGTTTTGTGCATGGCGATAGATATGGATCTATCTCCAGTCTTCTACACGCCAGCATCCAGTTATGCCAGCACCATTTGTTGACGATGCTTTCTTTTTTCCATTGTATAATTTTAGCTTCTTTGTGTTCGTAGGTGTTTGTATTAATATCAGGGTTTTCATTTCTACTCTATTGGTCTACCTGTCTATTTTTGTGCCAATACCAAGCTGTTTTCAGGACTATATCTCTGTAATAGAGCTTGAAGTCAGGGATGATAATGGCTCCGGAAGTTCCTTTATTATACAGGGTTGTTTTGGCTATCCTGGGTCTTTTGTTTTTCCATGTAAAGTTGAGAGTTGTTCTTTCAAGGTCTGTGAAGAATTGTGCTGGGATTTTGATGGGGATTGCATAGAATCTGTAGATTGCTGTTGCCAAGATTGCCATTTTTACTATGTTGATCCTACCTATCCAAGAGCATGGGAGATTCTTCCATTTCCTGGTATCTTCTTTCTTTCTTTAAAGACTCAAAGTTCTTGCTTTACAGGTCTTCCACTTATTTTGGTTAGCGTTATCCCAAGGTATTTTATGTTGTTTGTGGCAATTGTAAAGAGTGATGTTTCTCTGATTTCTTTATCAGCTCATTTATCATCTGTATATAGTAGGGCTACTACTGATTTTTTTGAGTTAATCTTTTATCCTGCCACTTTGCTGAAGGTGTTTATTAGTTGTAGGAGTTCCCTGGTAGAGTTTTTCTGGTCACGTATGTAAACTATCATATCATCTGCAAATAGTGAAAGCTTGACTTCTTCCTTTCCAATTTTTATCCCCTTGATCTCTTTTTGTTGTCTAACTGCTCTAGCTAGAACTTCAAGGATAATATTCAAGAGGTATAGAGAGAGTGGACAGCCTTGTCTTGTCCTTTATTTTAGATGAATCTCATTGAGTTTCTCTCTGTTTAGTTTGATGTTGGCTGTTGGCCCAAGCTCACCTCGTCTTGTGGGGGAATGAAGGGATTAGGACCGTGAAAATACTTTTTAAAGGAAAAATTTCTTGGTCTGTATATATACACACCTATTTGTAAATGTAATGGTGTGACCTTTATTGTATTTTCAGACCAAAGGAGAAAATGGAAATTGTGGACAGTATGGGAAAGTTATACCAGCAAGTGTTGTTATATTTGGGATGGCAGTAGAGTGTGCAGAGATACGAAGACATCATAGGTAAGTGGTTAGAAGAACACTCTTAAACCTGGCAGTGGTGGTGCACACCTTTATTTCCAGCACTGGGTTGGGGGTGGGTAGCACATGCAGGTGAATCTCTGAGTTCGAGGCCAGCCTGGTCTACAGAGTGAGTTCCAGGACAGCCTGGTCTACAGAGTGAGTTCCAGGACCGCCAGGACTACACAGAGAAACCTTGTCTCAGAAAGAACCCTCCAGCTCCCTCCCCCCAAAGAAAAACACAACTTCAAGACTTAATGCATGTGTATAATGTTTAGCCTTATTAATTTTAAGTGGAATTCTAGGATTAAAACTAGCTTTTTCTAAATGGAAATTTTTTATACAGCTTACTGTCATTTAACTGTGTGAGAATTTTTTGTAGAAAAATATTAAGTTCAGATTGTTTTTAATTGGAATTCTAGTAAGGATTTCCAATGTGAAGATAAGTTTTAGTATTACTTTTCTTGATAACTTCACTAATGCAATGATTGGGCAGAATGCAATTTTAAATCGTCCAAAGATGTTACCTTCCTGTGTAAAGGTAACATAAAAATATAAGTATTGATGAATAAAAGAAAGGAATTAAAATCACCGTGAACTGAATCACCAGTAAATAGTTACTGCTCAATTTTGCTATGAACTGTTCATTAATTTTTGTTTCATGTTACAGGTTTATAATAAAGTGTTTAGAGTTTGGTAGGCTCAGGGAACCAAATAGACAGACCCCAGGTACCAAGTTAGTTGACTATGGACTCTATGTATATAAATGCCTCTGTGTGTTAATTGAATTCATTAAAGAGTACCAACAATACAGTTGTGTGAGACAGTATCCTCGGCCACCCTTGCTATTGACTACTCACATTGTGGGTTCTGTAGCATGTATTGTGGTTTTCATTTCATGATCTTTGATGATCACTGGTGTTCTTATTTTATTTTGTCATCCTCTTTAGTGAGTATCTAAATGTTTTGTCCATTTCTGTTTGTCTTCTATCAACTTGCCAGAATTCAAAAGTACATTTGAATATGAATTATTTTTGAATGTACATTCTAAATATTTTTGTTTTTAAAAGTTTTCTAATTTTTATTTATGCATGTGTTTGTGTGAATATCTGCCTTGTTTATGTTGTGTCTGTGGAGGACATAAGAGTGTGGTGTATCTCCTGGAGCTGGGGTTACAGGTGTTTGTGCTGGGAGTCAAACTTAAATCAGGACCTCTGCAAGAACAGCAAGTGTACTTAACATTGAACCATCTCTCTGTCCTACAGAGTTGTTCATTTTAACATAGACTTTATCATTTTTTTCTTCATGTGATTGTTTATGTATATAATATAAGAAATCTGTGGCTATTTGGTCTCATTTCATTTTTATATTTTCTCAACTATTAGATAATGATTTTGATAATAAAAAAATACATCTTTACCTCTCTTTTTCTTAAACTCTTACTAGGGTGAGCACTAAGGACATTGCTGGTGTCCATTTGCCAGCAAATGTGACATTTCAGAGCCCGGCCTACTCTTGTGTAGACACTGGAGAAGCAGTTGAGCCTTACACAACTGAAAAGATGAGTAGGATCCCTGGAGGGTACTTGCCTCTGACAGAGTGCTTTGAAATTATGAAAGTGGATTTTAACAGTCTTCAGGTAAAAACATGAAGTTAATTCTCCCCCTCCCCTCAGACAGGGTTTCTCTGTGTAGCCATGGCTGACCTGGAACTTAGTTTGTAAACCAGGCTGGCCTGGAAATAATAGAGATCTCCCTACCTCAGTAGTATGCCACCATGCCTGGCCCTTAATTCTTACTTTTAAGAAGTTAAAGAATTTCCTAAATTGTTTCGGGTAATGTATGAAGTCTTACTTTTTCTTTTCCCTTCTTCCCTTCCCCCTCCTTCTCCCTCTTCCCTCCCCTCCCCCTCTGTTCCGATAAATCTTTCCACCAAAAGCCGCCTGAGCCCCACCGCCACGTGTGTGCTTTATGCCAGCCGCCCGCCCGAGTTAAGGCCCAAATGAATACACAGAAACTTGTATTAAGTTCAAAGCTGCTTGGCCAATGACTAGGATTCTCATCTGTTAGCTCAGTCTCAATTATCATAAATCTATATATGTTATAAGATGTATTTTTATAGAGGATGCCTTTTGCTGGCACCCTCTCTTGCTGGTGGCTCACATCCTGCCGCTGGAGGAGGCCAAGGGGAAAAGGGGACACTTCCTGTTTCCTTTGCTTAAATATGAGTCTCCTGGCTATGTCACTTCCTGCCTGGATCACCACTTCTCTACTACATTTCCCAGAATCCTCTTTGACTCCTAGTCCTGTCTAACTTGCTGTCTCATTGGCCAAACAGTATTTTATTCAATAATCAATAAGATAAACATACACAGAAGTACATTCCCCATCACCCCTCCTTTGTGTAGATATGTCCTGCAACTCAAGCTGTAGATCAGGATGGTCTTGAACTCAGAGATCCACCTGCTTCTGCCCCCTGAGTGAATGCTACCACCAGTACTGCCCAACTATGTCTTACATTTTGAATGTACATGAGGTTACTTATGAAGGAATGCTTAGCAGCAAATTAAAATTCCCTTTTGGAAATGTTCTTTTTAAATGCCAGGAACAGCTCTCTAGAGTTTGAGAGTATATGCAGTACTGTGTGCTCTACATGTACTGTGACAGTAGAAGTGAGATAATGTGTGCTTTTTAGATGAAACTGCCTGCAGTAATACATTCGGCCAAGTTATAATGTATGTAAATCCACAGGCAAAAGTCCTAGCCTATTTCCTCTTTATTTTCTCTTTGTCATGCTGTCTTCTCAAATGAATGGCTTTCCTTAAAATGAACAATAATCTAAACCTAACAATCTAAATTTAAATAAAGTTGTTAAGCAGTGCTTCTCAACCTGTGGGTTGTGACCCTTTGGAGGGATGTTAAACAACTCTTTCACAGGGGTCACCTAAGACCATCAGAAAACTCAGATACTTACATTATGATTCATAATAGTAGCAAAATTACAATTATGCTATAGCAAGGAAAATAGTTTTATGGTGGGGGTCACCACAGCATGAGGAACTGTATTAAAGGGTTGAAGCATAAGGAAGTTTAAGAACCACTGTATTAGGGTAATGGTATCTCATTTCATCCAGGGCTGAAGGGTTTCCTGAGACAGAACATTTAGGTCTTTGTTAGGAATTCTAGGGATTGTACCAGACCCTGGTACATGCTAGACAAGCCTCTGTACTCCTGCTACACTTCCTGCTGGGGGTTGCCTTTTAAAGCCAGACCAGGCCTGAGGAAGGCAACTAGGGATTGTCCTAGTTTGTGTATGCATGTATTGGTGGATGATAGGAAGATGTGTATGTAAAGAGCCCAAGAAGTGCTCAATAAAACCCTTTCCTAGTGTCTTGAAGAAAGAATAATGTCTATAGCACATGTTTTAGGTACTCCTTTTGTGGGGTAGGGGTTGCAGTAGACTGAGGGAAGAGTATTTTAACATGGAAATTTAAAATGTAGTCAAAGCTTCCCCTTTAACTCACCTTTTTTTGGGGGTGGTGTGCAGCTGTTTTAGTTTGGTTTTGAGATGTTGAGCAGTCCTGGGTTTTAAGGTCATTCCTGACTAGACTTAATGTTCCAGGGAGTAGTGGGAATGTAACTGTTAAGTACTCCACAATCATTCTTTTCTTTTTCTTTTTCTTTTTCTTTTATTTTTTTGGTTTTTTTGAGACAGGGTTTCTCTGTGGCTTTGGAGGCTGTCCTGGAACTAGCTCTTGCAGACCAGGCTGGTCTCGAACTCACAGAGATCCACCTGCCTCTGCCTCCTGAGTGCTGGGATTTTAAGGTGTGCACCACCACTGCCCGGCTCATTCTTTTATTTATTTTAATAGTTTTTATTTGAATTTTTCCTTACACCACACACAACTTACAAAGATTTTAATTTTACAAACAGTGTCTGTCAGTTAGACACTTTGAAGGAGTATAGAACAGAAATGAAAAGACCCCGGTATTACCTTGTGAAAGGTTGTCTCTTCCCTGTATCACTTGTTTGAAGTGTGTGTTCCGGCTTCCTCTTCTTTCCCTGTGTTTGTGCATGTACACATGTACACTTTTCTCGTGTAAAATGACCGCATTTTTTTCTTCATGAGTAGTGTATATATGTTTTTGCTGTATGTTTAGTAGATGTATGATATCCTGTGATTCCCTAACTGGGCAGGACAGGGCAGGACTGTGAACTGTGAGGGTGGGCTGGGCTGTGGGTGTGACATTGAGGAAAATATATATTCAATTTATAAAGCTTTCTCATTCTTTTTTATTATTTAAAAAACTTTTGGCTCCTTACTATTTCCTAAACTCTGTTTTCTTACCCATTTTGCATTTCTTCTCAGGAATTAAAGAGTCTTGCAGCTAAAGAGCCTTGTCCTCTTAGTGTTCCTGCTGTTAAAGAAGGCATGCTGGATGCTGTCATGGTGTGGTTTGTTCTCCAGCTGGATGATGAACACAGTCTGTCCACAAGTCCTGGGGAGGAAACCTGCTGGGAACAGGCCGTTTATCCAGTGCAGGCCCTTGCAGGTAAGTAGTAACGCATTAAAAAAAATGAGGTACTGGAGAGATGGTTCAGCAGTTAAGAGCACTGGCTGCTCTTCCAGAGGACCTGAGTTCAATTCTTAGCACCTACATGGCAGATCAGAGCCGTCTATTAGACCCATAGTCCCATGGGATCCAAAGGCCTCTTCTGATGTGCAGACATACATGCAGACAAAACATCCATACACATTTTTAAAAATTCTTAAGTAAATCTTGAAGAATTTTTCTTTTAAACCAAGCCTCTCCTCACCAAACTAATCAAACAAAGAAAATTTGTTGCTTTAATCTAAGTAATTGAGTCAGTGACCAAAAAGAAGATTTATTTTGGAGATGAAGTTTTCAGTAAAAGGGTGTTACTTAAATATTTCAAAATTTTAATTCTTTGTTCAAAAGTAAATTTAAGTAACCAATATGTAGTTAAGAAGAGAGATTAAATATAGCTGAGGTGGTGCATGCCATTAATCACACAGCTGTGGAGGCATCAGGAAGCAGGCACATCTCTGGGAGTTCAAGGCCTGTGTGGTCTCTATATTGAGGTCTAGGCCAACCTTGGCTATACACTGAGACTCAGTCTCAAAAATTAGTAAGAGAGATTCAGTCATTACCTTGGAAACTGGGAGAGAAGGGCTGAGAGTTCCTGGGGGTTGAAAGTGCGTATGATCAAGATGTGGTGTTTATGGGTATGAAATTATCAAAGAGAAAATAAAAGATATTCTGTTAAAAAACAAAAATGCTATGTACAGTGTCACACACCTTTAATCCCAGCATTCTGGAGGGGCTGCAGCCAGCCAGGTTTGTATAGTGAGACCCTGTCTCTAAATAAATAAATTAAAATTTAAAAATTACTCTCCTGCATGCTCCTTAGCAGTAACTCTCACTAATCAATTCACAGTTTCAAGTGTTAGTTATCAGTAGATAAAAGAAATGTTGCTTTGAAAAAAAGAAAAACAGAAATGAAACTCTTGACAAATTTGCTGTCGACCTTGCTCAGAAGCCATGCCAATGTTTTTATTTTAGTGTAAGTGCTTCTTAAATGAGTACTGCTTAGTTTTCCTCTTCTTTTTCTTCTTCCAAAAAGGAGTTAGAAAAGTATTAAGTGTGGGGTACTTAACCCATAGAGAACCTGATTACATTTGTAGAGCCCAAGTCATAGGAATGTATGTTGTAGGGCTGGGAGATTCAGTGGGTAAAGGTGTTTGTTGCCATTCCTAATGACTTGAGTTTAGTTTCGGGAACCCACAGAGTGGAGGAGAGAACTGACTCCCCCAAGTTGTCCTCTGCCCTACACACATGCCAGCGCATGTACATACACCCTCCAGTAAAGAAATATAGAAATCAAAATGTATTCCGTCCTAGAAGTACAAAATCTTGCAGTGTTTTAGCTTTTTTGAGACAGGGTTTCTCTGTGTAGCTTTGGAGCCTATCCTGCACTCGCTCTGGAGACCAGGCTGGCCTTGAACTCACAGAGATCCACCTGCCTCTGCCTCCCGAGTGCTGGCATTAAAGGCGTGTGCCACCAATGCCCGGCAAAGTCTTGCAGTTTTAAGAGACTTTGGAGATGTATAAACTTCTCTGGGGAAAGTTGATATTAAAGATATTTTCTATCTAGGAAAAGGAAACTTTTTATAGCAGTTTGATGGGTTTCTGTGTTTTTAACAATTAGTTTTGTGGAAAACTACCCATTTGAAACAGGATGGAAGTACATGCCTGTGTGGTCTCTTTATCAGGGACATGATTTGCAAAGCTAGGGAACTCTGAAATCTGTAGTCTGGAGATTATGGTTCTCTTGTTGAATGACTTTGCTGGCAAAGATCTTAGAATTTTTATTATATTGTATCTGAAAATAGGACAATGGTATCTACCCTAGAGTGTTGTAGAAATGATATGATATATAAATAAAAAAATCTTGGCTCTCAGAGGCAAGTTCCACTTTAAAATCTGTATTCATTTAATTTCATTTTCTTTTGGTAATTTAAATATCCCTTGAAGAATCCTCAGGGAAAACCATTTTAAATGCTTAAACATAATAATAACAGCTTTGTTTATTTTCAGTTAAAAGTTTTTGTTTGTGTGTGTGTCTGTTTTGTGGGGGGGAGTGTACTTGCCATTGCATGCATATGGTTCCTTTTACCTTTATTTGATTTCTAGGCATTGAACTCAGTTAGTTAGGGTTATGAAGCAAAATTTATGGGCTCAAGCAATCTTTCTGCCTCAGTTCCCCACTATCTGGTACTATAAGGCATGTACCGCCACACCTGGTACAGATTATATTTTTGTCTGGCTATAGGACTGAATAGAAGCATGACAGTTTGGGCAGCTTAGAAATGGACCACTTGAAAACTCAAAAAGGAGCTTGGTATAGTACTTCCTGCAGGACTTAGCCTTCCCTTAAACTATGATGTTCCTAAATGTGTGAATTTCCAAATGCTTAAGGGCTGTTAGATACCATTGTGTTGAATGCTTTCGTACTTTTGGAAATTACCTTTAGAGAAAAGAATGTCTATTTAAGCTAAAATGAGGCTTCATATTGACCCCTGAATTTTATCTATCTTTGCTTATAGACAAAGCATCCTTCTATCCCAACATCTTCTTCAGTTTGGCAGTATATCTACTGATCATAGTAACAGACACAAACTATAAGAAGCTGGGCTTTGTGGTACATGCCTGTAATCCCAATTCTTAGGAGGTAGAGCAAGGAGAATCAGGAGTTCAGGTCAGCTTTAGCCACAATGCAAGCCTGAGGTGCAGCTCAATTGCAGCAAAAGACCTTAGCACTTTAGAGATAACAGTATCATAGGATGGCTACCAAGAACAGCAGCATCTGTGGAGTGGACCTGGTCAGAACTTAAATTGACAAGGGAACAATTGTGTTTTATGTCAACTTGACACAAGCTAAAGCCATCTGAAAACACCTCCATAAGATGGGGCTGTAGGTAAACCTGTAGCTTATTTTCTAATTAATAATTGATGGGGGAGGGCCCAGTCCATTGTGGGTGGGGCTACCACTGTGCTGGTGGTCCTGGGTTTTATAAGAAAGGTAGTTGAGCAAGCTATGGGGGACAAGCCAGTATGCAGCACCCCTCTGGCTCTGCAACAGCTCCTGCTTCCAGGTTCCTGCCCTGACTTTTTTGTTTGTTTGTTTGTTTTACGAGACAGGGTTTCTCTGTGTAGCTTTGGAGCCTATCCTGGCACTCACTCTGGAGACCAGGCTGACCTTGAACTCACAGAGATCCCCCTGCCTCTGCCTCCCGAGTGCTGGGATTAAAGGCGTGCACCACCAATGCCCGGCTCTGCCCTGACTTCTTGAATGATGGGCTATAATGTGCAAGTGTAAGCCAAATAAAGTCTTTCCTCCCCGTCTATTTTTGATCTTGGTGTTTATAATAGCAATAGAAACCCTAACTAAGACAGTCAATTACTTATATGTATGTACATATATATATATGCATATATATATATAATTTCATCTATATATATATATATGAAATTTTATTTTTTTCTCTTACTAATGAAGACTACTGGATAAAGCCCGGAGACCGAGTGACAATGGAAGCATCTTGTCAAGATTGTTACCTAAGAATCCAGAGTGTCAATATCTTGCATTTGGAACATGAAATGGAAGTTATAAAGAATTTTACCAAGAGTAAAGACTTGCTCTCTCTAGGAAATGAGGCTGAGCTCTGTAGTGCCCTGGCTAATCTTCAGACCAGTAGAGCAGATGCTCTGGAGCAGACCTGTGTTTTAGAACCTACAGAAATTGCTTTGCTCAATAACATCCCATATCATGAAGGCTTTAAGATAGCAATGAGGAAGGTATTGTCTTCACTGGCCCCAGAGAAGTTGTGCCAGCCCGTGGATACTCACTGTCAGGATATTGAGATGAGCTCTGGAAGTGAACAGAGTGGTACTGCACCGAGCACCTCTGACCCTTTCTATGTGTTGGATGTGTCTGAAGGCTTCTCTCTCTTGCCTATAATTGCTGGAACACTTGGTGATGTTAAGCCCTACAGTTCTGTGGAGAAAGACCAGCATTGTATCACTTTGGACCTCATATCTGAAGCCAATCACTTCCCTAAGGAAACACTTGAGTTTTGGCTGAGACATATAGAGGATGAATCTGCTGTGTTGCAAAGGCCCAAATCAGACAAATTGTGGAGCATAATTATATTAGATGTCATTGAGCCATCTGGACTCATTCAGCAGGAAATAATGGAAAAAGCTGCAATATCCAGGTAAAACAAAAACTGTAAAATTGAATAGGGGATTTTGGGTTTAAAAAGTCACTTTTTCTTTCTTTTCTTTCTATTTTCCAGTTTTGAGTTTTGTGGGCAATAGGGGTGACATGAATGTCTTACTGTCGAACCCAAACCCAGCCATTGGAGTTTGTTCTGCTGAAGGCCTAGAGTAGAGGCTAGTTGCCAGGTTAGACTTTCCTGAAGTGGAGTTAATGACCAGTGGCTAACTGAGTCTTCATAAAATCTCTGAATAGAAAGTTCACAGGCTTTCCAGGGGGTAAACACATCAAAATGTGGGTCTCAAGACTTCAGGAACTCTGAGTGTTCCTCTCCCATAAAGAGCTGCTTCTTCCTCTGACCCACCTTTTGCTCCGTACTCCTGTTGATAGTGATGCAGGGACTTACCCCACACACCAAGCAGTTCCACAGCCTACACCAACTGGGTGGTCTTTAATTTAGTTCAATTTTGGTCCTGGTATCTGGAGGAAGGACAGCCACAACTTCAAAAGTCAGATGCATATAGTAGGTTGTCATCTGTCTTTTAAACCACCAGGTACAAATTGAAACCCTTTTCAGCTATTGCTGAAGCTCACAGGACTTAGGGAAATGCTTGGCTTAGATTAACCTATTTATTATAGAGGATCAGATGAGGAGCCAGAAGGAGAGTGCAGAGGGCAAGGCACATGTGAAGGGTGCAGAATTTCATGGTCTTCCCAGACATGCTCTGCAGGACCCTTCTCATACTGAACTGCACAGTCTCTCAATGCTGGCCCTTTGGGTTTTTGTGGGGCATCATGTGTATGAACATCAGTGGGTATTAGTGATAATTCGACGGGGAGTAAGACAGCAAGGTCCAATCCTCTAGTCATTACTTATTCTTTTTGGATAACAAACCAGAGACACTAAGAGTTCCTAGATTCTGGCATGGCCTTGGTATACAGAAGTCCTCTTACTATTCCTTTGAGTCTGAGAATAGTCCTATGTTTTAGGAGCTTTGAACAACAACAACAAAAAACTGTCCCGACCTGCAGGATGTCAACCTGGTGCGAGAGAGTCTGGGATAGGGAATGGGGACAAGAGACGCAGAAAGAATGACCACAAGACAGGATTCTGATCAAGTGCCGAACTTTACTTTTCTCAGGCTAGCTTATATAGTCAGTAGAGCAGGATATGGGGAGGGGTAGAATAGATTGTTTGTGCACCAGGTGTTAGTATAGGCAGGATATTAGGAGGCCACAATGAGGATGTTTGGCAGGGTAAAGAGTTCATGAGTAAGAGGTCCAGGAAGGGTTGCCTAGGTGACTGAGCCTGTGGGTGCAGGACTGGGTCAAGTTGTTTTCTTTTCTTGAGCTGAGGTTCTAAGGAGCTGCTGTGCAAAGGTTAATATATAACTATGTGGCCAGCCAAGAATGGCCTAGGATCTCATGCCAAGCCCTGAGATTTGGCTCCCAACAAAAACAAAGCAGCAACAACAAAAAACAAGATAAAGATCAAATATAGTGTTAGTATAAATCACCATTGCCCTATGTATGTCTTGTATTTGGCCATTTCTGAATGAGTTTGTCTTTTCAATTTTTAAGTGTATTTTGCCTACATGTATGTATGTGTACCTCATGTGTGCCTGGTGCCTGGAGAGATCAGAACAGGATGTTAGATCCCTTGGAATTGGAGTTACAGATGGTTGTGAACCACCATATGGGTGCTGGGAATTGAATTCGGGTCCTCTGCAAGAGCAACAAATGCTCCTAACAGCTGAGCCATTTCTGAGTTTTATTCTTTGTAGCAAGCCAGTACATAGAGGTAGTATGTTTTTCTTAGTTCTGTGACCCACATTAGCAAATTATCAGATGCTTCCCTCAAAGAGGGAGTTGTGTGAATAACACATGTATATCAATGGGTGCAGTGTGCTAGACACCTGGGATTTAGGATTGGCAACTTGTGTGACATGGATAGATAGTGTTAGAATTGACTGGAACCCTAAGATACTCAACTGACATTGGAGAACTAATTAATTGGCTGTATTTTGGAGAAACCCTCCTTCCAGTTTGGAGTGAGAAGTTTTAATAAATAAGGGAAGGCACTTGTTAAGGTAACAAGTTTATGGACTGGAGGTATGGTTCAGTGGTAGCAAGCTTGCTCTGGTATCCCTGGTACTCTACAGAGAACCTAATACAATGTCAGTGCCTGTTAAATGATGCATTTAGTAACAGTTAAATAACAAGTTAGTATGCACTGTTACCATTCTTAGAATTTTTCTTGAGCTTTAAGTTTTAGAAAGTTAAAGTAAATGGTCAGAAAATTAATAAGTAAATAGAACAATCTCATAACAGCTTACAAGCTAATAGGAAGGGTTTTGTTGAGATCTGTGTGGCTTTGCTAGGAGATAAGTAATGTCACTAATTGAGATTGACTACTGACTTTCCTTTGAACACAAGTTGTTAGGAACAGTGTAGGAGAGCATAGGATAAGCAAGTCTCAGACACCTAGATGTAACATCAGACAAGTAAGGGTAAGTCATGACTTTGAATCAGACTAGTCCGTCTACTCACTGTGTAAGATCATGATCATATGAATCTAGACTAAGTCCTGTGTACATGGTTCAACCTATGAACCGATGCTGCCCTGACTTAGTGCTTCACTGGTTCCTGCTATTCTGTTCTATAAGTGTTGAGTGTCTTCCTCATTTGCCCCTTACTTTGTTGAGGTAGGGTCTGTTACTAAACACAGGGTTTGCTTATTTGGTTAGTCTAGGTCTTGAACTTGTGTTGAGGATCCCACCTCTGTCCCCTCAGTGAGTGCTAGGATTACAGGCAGGCTGCCGCTTTATCTGGGTGCTATGGATCTAAGCTCTGGTTGAATTTGGACTGCAGGTGCTTTATCCACTGAATTGTTTCCCAGTCCCTAAGTCTTAATGATCTGCTTAGGGAAGCTACATAGCAAAAATGGAAAGCATGTTATTTTTTAGATCTGTTCAAACTGGCCAGATGGCTAGTCTGTATTTTTAAGTAGATCTTTAACTTGTGTGTAAAATTTACTGTGAAATATACTTGATGGTCAGTGCCCACCTCTGTGTAGTCCCTGCTCTGGAAGTTCAAGTAGAATACATCCCAGAATATTCAGTAAAAACAAGGTTTGATATCTGAAGATGTGACAGATGAGGAATAGTCCCCCTGGTCTTAAGACCCTATATTGTTTTGTGTTTCTGCTTCCTCTTTATAGCTCAGGTAAGAAAAACAAGACTCCACAGTAGCACCCGATTAGATTCTGCCTTGCTGTAGCCTCCAGACCCTTGCTACAGGAAAACCTGGTACCCCATCCCCGGGAATGTCAGCTTCCCACCAGCCACTTATTTTTTGTTCATAATTCTCTGTCCAGGTCCAGCCTACTTAACAAGATACTTTTTAATAACCATAAGCAGTACTGCTAATACCATTTTTGTGGGACTAAAGGGAGAATGAAGGTGAACAATGTGTGGCAGCATTAAGTGCAGCTGCATGAGAAAGGGTTTTGTTAATCTTTGTCTTGCTTTCTTTTCTAGAATATTCAATTTACGTATATATTTGCATTTGGAGAGTTTAATCCTTTATAGTGAGTCATTTCAGAGAAGTTACAGAATGGTTCAGAGAACTTTATGCTCTGTACCCTCATGTACTACACCTTTTGTAGTGTGATAGTGTAAGACTTTCCTTTTCCCAGTCAAACTTTTATCTTGCCTGAAATGCTTTGGATCATCATTGTTGCAGCTGTTTACACATAATGATAACTTGTGGAGGAAGCCTAAATCTACACATGAAATTTATTCATGTTTCATATACATCTTATACACAGTCATAAAGCAGCCTTAAGTGTTTTTTGTGCACTTGTGTTTTGATGGCAGCTTATTCATGAAGTCATATATAGAATTTCCTACATATTATATTGTATGAGTGCTCAAAAATCACTGGATTTCATTTATGTATTTGTTGGTTTGTTTATTGGTTTTTTGAGGCAAGGTTTCTCTGTGTAGTCCTGACTTGTCCAGGAATTCACTCTGTAAACCAAGCTGGCCTCAAACTCAGAGTTCTGCTTGCCATTGCCTCCCAAGTGTTGGGATTAAAGGCGTGTGCCACCACTGCCCAGCTAAAAGTGCTGAATTTTGGAGCATTTTGATTTCCACGCAGGGGTGGTTCTCCATTAATGGTTGTGGCCTGTAACTAAGTACTTACCCTTGTCCAGATCTGACTCCTTGAGCAATTATTTCTAGTGGTTTAAGTTTTCAACTACTAGGCTATGTATCATCTACATTTCACTAATTCATGATTCTTACTTATTATTCCATAAAATGTAGGGAATTAAAAGGCTTTACCAGTATTTGCCATTCTTCAGGTGTTTATTGCAATCTGGAGGCAAGATCTTCCCCCAGTATGTGTTGATGTTTGGGATGCTCGTGGAGTCACAGACACTGGTAGAAGAGAGCGCTGTTCAAGGAACAGAACACACTCTTGGGTTAAACATAGCACCTTTTATTAACCAGTTTCAGGTAAGTGTCTAGAGAACTGTTCAACCAAGATGTTGTGCTGTCTTCCATTGTCTTTGTCTCTCCTTTGAGTTTTTGCTTAGTCAGTTGGTTTAGCTGGATTAGAAATACAGTCAGTTTCCTAGAGTAAAGGAACATGTCACTGACAGAAATCAACCTGAGGGTCAGAATAAGCAAGGACTTTTGTCATGAATACTAATGAAAGTTTATAGATTTTCCTCTGACATTTAAGCTATTTCTATGCATGGTTCCAAAATGCTACCACCTGTTTTTTTATTATAATTTTTTAAAAAGAATTATTTACTTATTTTAGTGTATAAGTGTTTGTTTGTATGCATGTGCCTCTTGTGTGTGCATTGCTCATGGACTCTAGAAGAGGGGATCGGATCTTCTGGAACTAGAGCTACTCCCATAGGGGTGTTGGGAACTGAACCAGGGCATCTGCTAAAGCAGTGAGCGCTCCTAACTCCTGGTCTAGCTCTCCATTCCCCATCTTTCTGTTTTATTCCCACTTGATCCTGACTCCAGCAGTTCTTTAATTCTGTCAGTATCTACAATATACTGGTCCTTCTGCTCAGTGTATTTTATGCTCAGTGTATTTTTCATGTAATGTAAATAGTACACTCCATCCCCTGTTGTTCTTGGGTGATCCTGCCTTGGTTAAATCCCACCTATGCAGCTTCCTACAGTTGTCCCTTAATGCCATGACCTCACTTTAGTTGATAACCACTTATCTAAAGAGGCTCCAGAACCTTTCTTGGAAGATTTACTTATTTTTTTTATTTTGTTTGTTTGTTTGAGACAAGGTTTCTCTGTGTAGCCCTGGCTGTCCTGGAACTTACTTTGTAGACCAGGCTGGTCTCAAATGCACAGAGATCAGCCTGCCTCTGCCTCCTGAGTGCTGCAAGATTAAAGGTGTTACGCCACTACTGGCCTGTCTTGGCAGTTTGATATTTTATAGTCTGTTTACCCATTACTGTAGGTATTATCTATCTCCTCTCTTACAATGATTGACTACTAGATATCTGTGAATCAATGAAACAAAATCAGAGGTTGTTAAAAGAATATAGTACATTAAAAACTATTCAACAAATGTTTATTGAGCATCTCCTACATGCACTGCTTATTTATTTATTTGTTTGTTTATTTATTTGTTAGGTAGTATCTAATATAGCCCAGAGGGCCTCAATGTGTAACCAAGGATAGCCTTGAACTCCTGATTTTCTTGTTTCTGTCTTTTTTTTAATTTAATTTTTATAAATTATAATTTCACATGTCAATCCCTTCTGTTTCTGTCTTCTAAGGGCTAGAATTATAGACATATGTCACCATTCCCAAATTACATGTATGTATTAGTTACTAGTTGGTACAACAAAGTCCCTGATAGAAAAGCATCTTAAAATAAGGGTTTATTTTGGCTCACAGTTTGAGGGAACACAGTCCATCATGGCAGAAAATTTCTACCTCTGTTAACCTTCTATGAAAAAATAAGGTAGAAGAGCAATAAGAGCAATCAAAGAAGATAGCCAGTATCTGCCTCAAATCTCTACTTTTATACTGTGTGCACATGTGTGCAATAGTGTACTCGTACAGAACTCCATGGGGAGCTATGAAGGCAAATCCAGGCAATCCGATTATAGTCCCAGTGCCAGTTATCCCAGTGCAGGCATGCTAGAAGGAAGCATGAACCCCAAGGGTGTTGCAAGTCAAATATATAGGCAGCCTGAAATCCTACCCTATGGTACACTCCCTCCAGAGAGAATGAGTCATGCCTCCATAAGTGTCAGGCCATATAGCCCTAATATGTCCAATATATTGCTGGCAGCTCTGTGCAAAGCAGGTATCTCAATATAAATCAAAGGTGTATGATGGGAGCAGGACTTCTCTGTGGACAAGAGATTAAGAGTATGGCTAGCATGATCAACCTTAAGGGGTCCCCATATCATTCAGGTGGAACCATGACCAACAATTCAGCAGAGATGATGGGCCTGGTGACATCAAGTTAACTCTAGCTGCTAACGTAGACTGCCAGGCAGGGAAATCCCAAGAAAAAAATCCACATCTGTGCAAAATACTATTCTACAGCCAGTGAGAAGACTGTTTAAACTGTGATCTTGACAGGGAAAAATTAACAGTCTTCACAGAGAAGTCAGTGTGCACCACAGATTTGCCTGTTATGGATAGGACACCTCTTGACTTTCGTTGCCTCTGACTATGAAGGATGCTGGTAGATTGACTTGGGGCAACAAGAACAAAAAACGGTGGGAACTTACAATGGGCATACCAGTCACGTGTTGTCAGCTCCTTAGAAAAGAAATATGCCCATAATCTCTGCCTTTGAGTGCAGGATTAAAGGGGAGAAGACCCTTCACCAGACAGTTTTGGAGCTGTTGAGTTCCAGAAGTCTGAGCCTGAGACCTATCCTTGCTTTCCTTCAGGATCAGGGCCTATACAGGACCTATAGATTCATTTAACCAGTTGTTCCATTGCAGAAAGAGAGAGGACAAGACAAGACCTCCAGCTCCAGCATTCCCACCACAGTCAGATACCCTGCTTGCTCTCAGGATCTAGGATGCCATTCTGATTCCAGAAATGGATAGATGACTCCAAACCCTGCATAACTGTCCACTAAGAAGATCCCTGATATGGTGTGTGTCATATCCTATGGGGCAAATGAGGATCCTTAGGCAGCATCAGAGACGGTTGAACAGTGGCATGATGTAATAACTTGCTTTGTACATTTTGGTCATTTTGGTGACTGTTAGGAATAGAACACTTTGAAGCCAGCCAAAGGCTTGTGATGCAGTGAGATGGTGGCTTAGACTGCAGCTGGAGCCTTTGTGTGCTAGTTCCTATATTTTAAAAGTTGGAGGTTTATAGATTGGGTGTGGAGTATGAGAAAAGACCAGGAAGGAGACATCAGAGTGATCAGCTATATTTGTGTGTAGAGGGTGTCAGGAGGGGTGGATAAGGAGTCAAACTTGAGGCCTCGTATGTAAATTTGGCAGTTGGTATCATATAAATGGTATTGAAACCAACAAGACTAGATGGGAACATTAGGGGTGTGCAGAGAAGTGTTTGGGAACTGAATTTAGAGATCTTGAAAGATTATTGAGGTGACAGGAGGGGCCAGGAGGTTAGGCTGAGAAACAAAAATGGGGGCAGACAGTAAGCTGTGAGGGGAGCTGAAAGGTGACAGTCTCAGGCAGTGAGAAGTGGGAATGTATGGTTCTCAGTTACTGCCATAGACGGGACTCAAGGCAAAATGAAGAAGACTGAAGAGCTGTGGAGCCACTGAGCTCCTATGAAAGGTTGGATGAGTGCCCTAGAGAGGTTGATTGATATACCTGTGCCAGTCTCAATCTTTATAGAAAGGAAAGTAGCTTCCAAGCAGCACTGTCCTTTCATTTCAAACGAGGGAGAGGCTCAAAAGTCTAAGGGAGAGAGATGCATTGCAACTAAGATGGCTATATGTGGGACTCTGAGAGCTTTGGAATTCTGGACCTGTAGGGAGAAACCCTGATTAGAGGTACCACTGACCACACCTACTTGGGCATGGTCAGAGTTACGTAACAAGGGTTTAAGAAGGAGTGAGGCGCGCATGTGGCTGTCTTTCACCTGGCTGAGCTGACTAGGAAGCATTTTGTGGGTCCTTCCTGCTCAGGTGCAAACCTGGTCACTGGCTCCCTTGTGTGAGTACTTTTCCCCATTAAACTCTGTTTATCAACCTATCTCTGACTCCACTTTGTAAAAGTCAATATGGACCTCCTATAGATTGGCATGGGGTTGACCCTGAACAGCGGGTGGACCTTTAAAAACCTCCCTCAGTAACTTGAATTTGCAGCTAAAGTTTTGAGAATTATTGCCTTGTAGAAAAGAGCTTGTTTTTCAAAATGAATTTGTGCCACACCTATTGTTGTTGTTTGTTTGAGACAAGATCTCACTGTGTATTCTTGGTTGGTCTGAACTCACTTGATGGGGGAGGTCCTTTATGTTTCTCTTATTGGTTGATGAATACTGATTGGCCAGTAGCCAGGAAGGAAGCACAGGCAGGGCTACCAGAGTAGGAGAATTCTGGGAAGAGGAAAGAGACAGGAAAGCTGTTGCCAGGGAGGTATACCATGTAGCTACTGGGAAGATAGGAGGCTGTGTATTCTCTGGTAAGCTAAGACTATGTGGAGATACTTAGATTAATAGAAAGAGGTTAATAATTAAGAGAGAGCCAATAGGAAGCCTGAGCAATTGGCCAAACAGTTTATAATTAATATAAGCCTTTGTGTGTTTATTTGGACTAAAGGGCTGCAGGACCTGACTGGAAAGAAACTCCATCTTCAAATGGTGCCCAACGTGGGGCAAGAATTTCCACAGAAAACCTGACAAAAGCTTAAAAAGGGATTCTAAACACAAAAGAACAGGCAAGCACAGCTTCTTGGTAGCAGCATTTTCTTGGGTGGGCTCTGTTTGATAGAGACAAACAGCTTGTGGCTGCTTTAAGAGAGGCTTTCTGACTCAGCATTAGTGTCAAAAACAACATGGCTCTTTTAAGAGGCCCTGCTACCAAACAATTAAATGGTGTTTACGAGCAGCCGGTGGCATGCTTATTGGTGGTGACATGGACTCAGAAAGTCCATCTACACTCACTATGTAGACCAGCTGGCCTCTCATAAAGATACCCTTGCCTCTGTCTCCCAAGTGCTGGGATTAAGGGCATGTGCCACCACCCACCATGCCTGGTTAAATTTGGTGCCTCTGATCAAACACATTAATACTTACTGTTAGAGTATTTGTTTATATTAGTTCACATACTGTAGGTACAAATGTTTCTGGAATTGTTTGGCTACTTAAAAGTTTAGTGTGCTTTCATCCAAGAGAAAGGCCTGTGGGTAACAAACCATAATAAAGTGTTGGACCTTAGCTTGTTCATTCATCCTGAAAAACTGGTGAGGATGGTTCATGCCTTGTGTTGATGGAGAAAATAAATGAGGCAGTAGAAAGCATTCTGTCACAATGAGCTAATTGCAACTCAAGTACAGAACGAACCCAACTGTACAAATGATAACAGTCAGAGTGTACTCTTTCCTCAGGTGCCTATCCGTGTGTTTTTGGATTTATCTTCATTGCCATGTGTCCCTTTAAGCCAGCCAGTGGAACTCTTAAGGTTAGATCTGATGACTCCATATTTGAACACTTCCGATAGAGAAGTAAAGGTAAGGACAACTACAAATGCTCACTCTTGCCGTAGTCAGAACAATTTGCCTTAAATGAGAGATGCTATGTCTACATCTTCATTTCTTTTGAAGATTTAAATCTTCTTTTCTAGACAACATGCAAAAATAGATTGAATAAATAAATATTAGTGTCTAAGACTATTATTAAATTTGAATGGGTGGTTCAATATATTTTATTATTGTATTCAAATTGTTAAAAAGAGAGAAGACTTACTTGCCTTGATGAAATGTTCAAAATTCAATTTCTATAGGTCCGCATTTGTAGATCTGGACGAGTGACTGCTGTCCCATTTTGGTTTCATTTGTGCCTTGATGATGAGGTCAGGTTGGACACCTCAGGTGAAGGCTCCCATTGGAAACAAGCTGCTGTGGTTCTGGATAGTCCCATCCGGGTACAAGCGGGAGAGGAGCTCCTGCTCAGTGTTCAGCATCACAAAAGCAATGTCAGCATCACAGTGAAGCAGTGAGCGAGACTGTAATCATAAATGAGTGTATAAAAATTTCTAAGGGTGACATTAATAAAGCACATGCTGACAGTCATGAAGTGTAGCCTTGTTTTTGCTCTATAAGAGGATTTCTTTCGTTTCTTTTTATTAGGAAGCCATTTTGTTGAACTTTATAAGGATTTAAGAGGTTTCTGTCTCATTGTCATGTCAGTTAAACAATTTTGTTTTCAGTTAAACAAATTTTTATGGATTTGAGATCTTGGCTTGTAATTGGGCAACATCTAAAAGTAGGCTTCTGCTGAAGACAGGGTTGATTGTGAACCCGAGCTTGCTTTAGTTAGATACTCAGTATGTCAAAGAGGGAAGGACTTAAGAGGAAAAGTGTCTTCAGCAGGTAAAAAGAATATTAAACACTGAGAGCAAACAGAAGCTTAAAAATGCTAAAGCAGGGGCTGGAGAGATGGCTCAATGGTTAAGAGCACTGACTATTCTTCCAGAGGCCCTGAGTTCAATTCCCAGTAACCAGATGGTGGCTTACAACCATCTGTAATGTAGTCTGGTGCCCTCTTCTGGACTGCAGGGATACTGTATACATATAAATAAGTAAATAAATAAATAAATCTTTAAAAAAAATGCTAAAGCAGGTGCTGGAGAGATGGCTCAGTGGTTAAGAGCAATGACTGCTCTTCCAGAGAACCCGAGTTCAATTCCCAGAAACCCATGGTGACTCACAAGTACCTGTAATGAGATCTGGTGCTGTCTTCTGGCCTGCAAGGACACATGCAGGCAGGATACTGAATACATAATAAATAAATATTTTTTAAAAAAAAAGAAGAAGAAGAGTACTGGCTTTTCCAGGGGTCCGGGGTTCAATTCCCAGCACCCACATAGCAGCTTATGCCTGTCTGTAACTTCATTTCCTGGGATCTGATACCCTCACACTGACATACATGCAGACAAAACACCAATGAACATAAAAAAATGCTAAAGCAGAATTTCTCTAAATTTTTATGTGAATGTCTTGTTGCAAAGCTTTGTAATGTCATGGGATTCCATTTTTAATTGTTGGCATTATTTCCTGAGTGATCTGAAAGTCTTCAGAAAGTCCTTGCCTGTGTCTGTATCCTGAAGTGCTTTCCCTACTTTTGGTTTTGCTAGGGATTTTTAAATCTTGTTCCTCCGAGTCCCTGTCTCCTCTCTCTTCTCTAACTTTCTCTCTCCCTTCTCTCCTTTCTCTTTCTTTGCTCCCTTCTCCCTACCTTTTTTCTTCCTTTTGGACGGGGTCTTATGCATCCCAGACTGGTCTCAAATTAGCTATGTATCTGAGGATAGCTTTTTTTTATTTTTATCATTTTCTTTTAAAACCATCTTCTCATTTTACATGTCAATCCTAGTTTCCACACCCTCCCTTCCTCCTGCTCCCCGGACCTTCCTCTTACTCAGCCCTCCCCCCCATCCCCTCCTCAGAGAGGAAAGGCTTCTCATAGGGAGTCAACAAAGTCTGGCACATCACTTTGAGGCAGGATCAAGGCCCTTCCCCTTTATCTAGGCTGAGCAAGGAATCCCTCCAAAGAGAATGGGCTCCAAAAAGCCAGTTCATGCATCAGGGATAAATCCTGGTCTCACTGCCAGTGGCCCCACAGACTGCCCAGGCCACACACTGTCACCCACATTCAGAGGAGGATAGTTTTGGATCTCCTATCTCTCCTTCCTAAATGCTGAGATTGTGTGTGCTCCCACCCCTGGTTTCTGGGACCTAGCTCAGTGCTTTGGGCGTGCTAGTCAAACATTTTGGGAAGGTCCATTCCCATCCCTTGTTTATCTACTCAACCAACTCAGCCTCACTGAGTCTTTTCTATTAATCTCTGCTCTTATCTTAATTTTCCAGCCACTGCTCTAAGGTGCATTTCCATTTATGTGAGAGTCTCTAATTTTTTGTTTTTAAATGTGGGCACATTTAGCTACAATTTCCCCTTAGAAATACTTATGTTGTGTCCCTTAGGTGTCAGTATGTTATGTTTTCCTTTTGCTTTGATTCTACTAATCTCGAATTGTCTTCCTGATTTCTTTAATGACTGTGCATTATGCAATGGTGTGTTAATTTCCACATGTTTGCATGCTCTATAGTTACTCTTGCTATTGATTTTTAGCTTTTAGTATTGTGATCAAAATAAAAGTGATTTCAGTTTTTCTATGTTTGTTAAGGGTTTATGTCCTATTATATGATCTATTATTGTCTATTTTAGAGCCAGTTCTACAGGTTGCTGAGAATGTCTTCTGTAGTGTTTGAATGGACTGTTCTGTAGGCATCTGTAAGGTCTATTGATATGCTGTCAGTTAACTCCGGTTTTTAATTTTTGTCAAGATGACCTGTCTATTGGTGAGAATGGGGTATTGAAGTCACCTACCATGTTGGGGTTAATTTGTGACTTTTTGTTTATCTGATTTAAACATTTGCATGTGGTTTGTGTGTATGGACATGTATGTGCTAGTGTGTATGGGCATGTGTGCTAGTGTGTACACACAATATATACATACACAAATGCTGAACCCTGAAATTGATATTGGTGTCTCTCCATTGCTCACTTATTGAGGTATGTTCTTTTGCTGAAGCCAGAGAGCACCAATAACTGAATAGTCTTGTCTAGCCAATTTGCTTGGAGGTCTTGTGTTGGGATTACAGAAAATCTCCACACCTCTCTGGCTTGGATATCGGTACTGGGGTTCAGTACTCCAGTCCTGCTACTTCCACCCTCTAATCTTTGACTTTACATATAGTAGTTTTTGTTTTATGAAATGGGTACACACATGCTGGGAGCACAGAAGTTTAGAATTGTTATGTCCACTTGATTGTGCCTTACGTAAAATGACTCTTGTACCTTTTGACTGCCTGGCTCTGTCAGGCATTAGAACAGTGAGTGACACTTTGCTTGTTTGTAGTTCCATTTGTTTGGAATCTTATTTCCATCCTTTCACCTCAGGGTATCATCTGTTAATACTGGTGGCATATTTCTTGGAGACAACAAATAAATGGATCCTTATTTTGACCCCACGGGGCTCATCTGTGTCTTGGTTGTGGAATTACGAGCATTATTATTCAGAGTTGTTACTGAGAAGATACACATTGATCCTGTCGATGTAGTGTTTGCTGTTTTCCTAATCTTCATTTGTTTACTACAATTGCAGTATGGATTTTTTCCATAGACTCTTGGGTGTGTTTGTTTTCTTTAGTCCAAAACATTCTTTCTAGTACCTTCTGTTAACCTGGCTTAGTAGTTTCGGAAAGTCAGGTCTGTCTGTGTGTTGTTCACTCCTTGCCCCTGTCCCCTGCTTCAGCAATAGTAATTTGTCTTCTGCCCTAGGGCTCCTATTGCTGTGAAGAGAAGATACCATGATCACAGCAACTGTTATTAAAAAACAAAACAAAACAAAACAAAACAAAAACCCAAAAACCAAAAAACAACTTTATTGGGACTGGCTTGCAGTTCAGAGATTGTACTGGCTAGTTTTGTGTGTCAACTTGACAAGCTAGAATCATCAGAGGAAGGAGCCTCATTTGAGGAAATGCCAGTGATCAATGCTGGAGGGCACCCAGCTCATGCTGGGTGGGGCGATACTTGGGCTGTTGCTCTTAGGTTCTATAAATACATCAGGTTTGAGCAAGCTGAGGGAAGCAAGCCAGTAAACTGCTCTCTTCCCTCTTCCATGACCTTTGCAGCAGCTCCTGCCCTGTTTAGAGTTCCTGCCCTGATTTCCTTCAATGATGAACAGCAATGCTGAAGTGTAATAAGCTAAATGAACTCTTTCCTCTCCAACTTGCCTATTGGTCATGGTGTTTCATTGCAGCAATAGAAACCCTAAAAAGATAATTGTCATGGCAGGACATGGCAGCATGCAGCAGACATGCTGCTGGAGGAGTTCAAGTTCTGCATACTGATCCATAGGCAGCAGGGAGAGAGAGAGCCACTGGGTCTGACTTGAGCTTCTGAAACCTCAACACCCACCCCCAGTGACATATTTTCCTCCAAAAAGGCTGTACTTACTCCAACAAGGCCACATATCCTAATTCTCTCAAATAATGCCACACTCCCTGTGAGTTTGTGGGGTTTGTTTTCATTCAAATCACCACACTGGGTAAATTCTCTCATAATGCCACTCCCTGTGAGTCTGTGGGGTTCATTTTCATTCAGATCACCACACTGGGTATAATAATCTGTGATGGAATTATTATCTTTCAGACCTTGAAATATTTCATTCCTAACTCCTCTTTAAAAATTTTGTTAAGAAATACACTATTTTGGTGAGTCAGCCTTTATAATGTGACTTTTTTCTTTTGCAGCTTTAGATATACTTTCCTTGTGTATATTTAGTGTTTTGGCCATAAGATAACATGGGAGGTGTGGTATTCTAAATGCCTCCAGTAGTACCTGTATGAAGATCTCAAAGGTGGTACAGTTTCTTGCTGTCATTTTATGGAACATGTTTTCCTGTGCCTTTGACATGAAACTTATCTGTCCATGTTCATAGATTTTGTCTTTTCATAGTTCCTCATGGCATGTTCCAGGAAAACACACACACACACACACACACACACACACACACACACACACACACACACACACAATTCTTGAGATTTCATTTAATGTGATCTCACTAGGTGTAGTTAACTGTGGGCTTGGTAGTTTTCACATAGTTGTATTGTCTTGGTATCCCAATTTTCTGTGCATTTGCCTGGAACTTGAACCTCTGTTGTTAGGTTGTTGGCTGATGGGGCTGGAAACATGATTCAGCTGTTCTTGCAGAGGACTCGAGTTTGAATCCCAGCACCTACATGGCGTCTCACTACAGTTTGCAATTCCATCTCCCAAGAATTCGATGCACTCTTCTGGCTTCCATGGGCACCAGGTACACATTGGTGCAGAGACTTACATACACATAAAATAAAATAAATGAACTAGAGAGATGGCTTGCAGAGGACCTGAGTTTGGTTCCCAGCACCCATATATGGCTAACCACCATCTGTAATTAGTTCTAGGGGATCTGGTCAGATCTCAGGCACCAGGCACACAGGTATTGTACATACATACAGTCATAAAAGAAAACAATTTTTAAAAATTGTTACCTTTATTCTTTCAGTGAAAATGTTTGCAGTGTTCAAGAGGGCTAAGGGTAGAACAAAGTTGAGATGTATTTTCTTCTGTTAGATTGCTGTTTGTGGCCTGGTCCCCAGTAGTTCTCTGACACTAGTGTCTGCAACAATAACTGCTATCAAGAGGTAGGTCAACTGAAAATACTGTAATAGCCAAATAAAACCAACCATCCCTTAAATACTATTTCCTGAAGTAAAGGAGCACAGAGAGTATCCCGTGTACTAGGTCTGAGGGGGAGGAAGGAGACGAGTAAGACTAGTGCTTAGTGTTGGTTCAAAGAAGTAGGGGAGAGAAGTGATGAAGACAAGATGGGAGATACAAAATATCAGGTAACAGAACAGCCCCAGCTCTTAGGAGGCTGACACAGACCCCACAAACCAGCCGAGCCTGGGTGCTTTGAGAAATGAGAAAAAAAAAAAATAGTAGACAGGAATAAGTGTGGAGAGCGCTGGATGGTGACAGTGTGAATGCTGTCTGTCCTGTTAGCTGGATTCAGTCTCAAGTCTAGGCATTTTTGTCCTAGTTTCCAGAAGGCTGCCATGCTCTTGGGTATTTCACTGCTAGGCCCTAGCTATTGGTCACAACCATAGGCGTCGCCCCATGCCACAGCTTCTTCCCTGCAAGGATCTTTTTGGAATGCTCTTCTTGTTTCTGAATTTCCCTTTTGCAGGCTGGGTTACAGATGCTGAGGTCTCACCTCTGGTTAAGTCTCCAGGAAGCCGGTTGGCAATATTGACCCTGCTGTTGTATATCCAGTGTTCAGTATGCTGTTTTAGAGCTGTGTCTAAGCTGCTCCTAGCAGACTCCCGCTCTATCCTGGTCTCCAGGTCACTGAGTCCAGTGAGTTTTTGTTTCAAGGACTTCCATAGCATAGACGTGTTCTGCTGGCCAGGTTTTTAGTGACTGACATTTGCTGAATTTCCTAAAGAGTATGGTTCACAGCATGTCTTAGGTTGCAGAGGCCACAGAGGTCTTAGTTTGAGTTAGCCTCACAGCTGCTGATAGTGTCCAATCTGCAAATTGTTCTGGGCAGGGGCTGCACTAAAAGCAACAAGGAGGTCAGCCTTGATGTGGGGCCTGGCTGGAGCAAGTGCACAGCTCTCGGTGCAGGTACTGTGAAAGTCTACAGAGGGATACAGTCCTGCAGTGTGGCGGCAGGAACATAAAATGGCTTGTCATGTCATGTCCAGTCGGGAAGGAGCAGACAGCACCTGCTGGGCACTTTTGCTTTGTTGAAATGTTTGTTCAGCAGGGCTACTCTTCTATTAGAGTTTTATGAGTTCTTTATATGTACTAGCTCCCTTTAAGCTATTGTTTCTAAGTCTTTTCCCAGTAAGTGTGCTGCTGCTTGGTGGCACTGATAATTTCCCTTTGGTCTGCAGAAACTTGTGACTGATACAGTTGTCTTCTATCCTTACAGGAGCTCTAGATAATGCCAACTAATTCAGTGTAGGTGCTATGTGTGGAAAGCAAAGACAAGGTATGTGTCCAGCACAAATGCTGTCTTCCCAGCTCGTTGTGATCTGGGACTGTTTGAATCTGTGGGTGTCCACATGTGCCATCTATTGTAGAATGTGGCAGATCAAGTCCTGCTCACTCATTTGGTTTACTTTTGTGGGTGTTGTGCACTGTTTTTGCTCTTTTGGCTCTTTGGGCTTTTTAGGGGGCCTACCACCCTGCTCCCAAATAAATCACACATAGAAACTTATTCTTAGTTATGAATGCCCTGCCTTAGCTTATCTTGTGTCTTGCCAGCTTTTCTTAATTATCCCATCTATCTTTGCCCCTGGGCTTTTTCCTTTTCTTCTGTATCTCTTACTTTCCTTCTTACTCCATGGCTGGCTGGCTGGCTGGCTGGCTGGGTGGCCCTTGACATCCTCCTCTCCTTGTTCTAGCTTGCTCCTGCTTCTCTTCCAGATTTCTCCATTTATTCTCTCTTCCTGCCATCCCCACCTATTCTTGCTCCTGCCTCGCTATTGGCAATTCAGCTCTTTATTAGGACCATCAGGTGTTTTAGACAGGCACAGTAATACAGCTTCACAGAGTTAAACAAATGCAGCATAAAAAAAAGTCACACACCCTTAAAATAATATTCTCCAATATATGGGCTAAACTTATGGTGTGATATTTTAATTTTTGAGAATTGCAACATTTCTCCATTTCTTTTTCTCCTCACAAACTCTCCCAAATATCCCTCCCTGCTCTCCTTCAATGTCATTGTTATTGTGTGCACATATGTATAACATATATATTCCTAAATATAACCTGCTAATTCTGTATAATGCTACCTGTATTTATGTTTTTAGGAGCTCACCATTTGATATGAAATAGCCAACTATTGTGCTTTTCTATGGAAAAGACTACCTCTCCTACTTACAGCTTTCCTTAGTTGCCTGTAGTTCTTTGTGTAGGGTTGAGGCCTTTGTTTTGTCCCTTGGTGTTGTCCTTGTTCAGCCCACATTTGGTCTTGTTGGTGAGCCTTTATGAGGGTAGCTTCTGACATCACTAGGAGACGCAATGTCACAGCGAAGTCCCTGATCCTCTAGCTCTTATGCTCTTTCTATCCCTCTTGCATAACATTCCCTGAGCCTTAGGTGTGGGAGGGTTTTTAGACAAATCCATTGGGACTGGGCTCCACAACTCTGCATTTTTGGTTGTGTTTGGTTGGAGATAGAAACTACACTGATCTGTGTGTATAAGGACAAATATTTATAGTTGTTTGTTAGGGTTTATGTTGGTTTAATAAATTAGTGGTTATAGATTCTCCTCCAGTAATCACTAGCACTAAGTAGTTGGCTGGGTTTCCAGTACCAGGCATGGTTTTTCTCTTGTTGAGCAGATCTTACGTCCAATTAGAGAACTGTTGGTTACTGCCAAGGTGTGTGTGCCACTATTGCACTCTCAGGGTTATTATGTCATGCTGGTTGTTGATGTGGTTCTGTCTGTCATAGCTGTGTAGGACTTTGGAAGCTTGCATGGTGTGATATTCTGAAAGTCACTGCCAAAGCAAATAACGGTCTAAGGGCTTCTCTTCTAGTTTAGTTACAGGTCTCATATTTGTGTGTCTTATACAGTGAGTTGATTTTGGTGTCTTTGGTATTGGAATCAGGACATCCAGGGACAACTCACTGGATGAAAGCTATTTTTCCTTAGTATGCCCACTTGGCGCTCTTGTCAGCAATTATTCTAAACTTTACATTTTGTTCACTTGTCTGGTTTTTGGTAGCATCACACTTTTTTTTCTTAAAACATTTTTATTTATGTGTTTGGAAGTTTTGCCTATATGTATGTCTGTGCCTGAATTAGTCAGAAGAGGGCACTAAATTTCCCAGAACTACAGTTACAAATGGTTGTGAGTTACTGTGTTGTGCTGGATCAATCCTGGGTCCTCTGGGGTGGGAGAGCAGCTAGTGTTCTTAACCACTGAGCAAACTTTCCAGCCCACTACACTGTTGACCACTATAGCTTTGTAACAGTTTCTTCTTGAGGCATGGTGTGTGTGTGCATTTCTCACTGTGTTGCTCAGGCTAATTCTCAAAACATTGTGGACTCAAATGACCATTCTCTCTTAGCCTCATAGAGCCATGAACCATGGCACCTAGCTTTTATTTCAGGAAATGCCATGTGTCCAACTTTCCTCAGAAGTGGTTTAGCCTTTTAAAGATATTTCTATATGACTTTTAGAATGTTCTTTACCAGAATAATGCCACTAGCATTCTGACAGCAATTACATTGAATCTGTATATTCCTATGGGTAGTGTGGACACTCTGATAAGATTTATTTTGATTCACATTGTATCCTTTCATTTATTTTCATCTTCTTGTTTCTTTGACCAGTGTTTTCTGTTTCTATTTTTGGCCTAGAACAGGCTGGCCTGGAACTTAAGTCCCACCTGCCTCTGCCTCCTGAGTGCTGGGTTTAAAGGTATACACTAGTAAGTCTATCTCAATTTTTTTTTTTTAATTTAGACTTCTAATCAAGCAATTTTTGTTAAAGCATTAAGAATTTATGTTTAAAGAGTAAGAAACAGTCAGGGTGTGGTGTTACATGCTTTTAGTACCAGCATTCAATGGCACAGGCAAGCTGTTCAAGGTCAGCCTGGCCTATAGACGAAGTTCCAGGACAGCCAGGGATATACAGAGAAACCCAGTCTTAAAACAACAACAACAAAAAAAAAGAGCAAAAGAGTAAGACACATAAGAGTTTCAGAAAATGGTATTGCATTTATTGAAAGACATGTAATTTAAGTATAATTATGTAAACTTAAATGGCACATGATTATGATTAAATTAAATTAATCTGAATTTATATGTACATTTTCATTTTCAGTCCAGAGCATTACATTCATGCAGTGGTAAGAAGCACTGATTTTTTTTTTTTCAATTTTCCATCCTCTTGTGAAATACAAGAGTGTTTAGCTGAAGTTGTTACTTACTGTTTGAATTTATGATGCCATAGCAGTTTAAGAAAGCCAAAGCCTAGGAAATTTAAATGTTATTTGTGATATATAAAACATACAAATATATATACTAACATGTGTATATTAGTATTATATGTGTGTGTATATTATATATAGTAGTTATATCTGGTTTTTGCCTATCTTTGAAATTTTCCAACATTTTGAACTGTCCAGATCTTGAGCCTATACACAAAGAGGATTGTGGCAACTTTAAGAGTCCGTTGATGTGTCGGGGGGCTCCTGCTCTTCTTGGATGTCATCTTCACACAGCCTGGCTGTAGAAAGTGTATCCTGTGAAGTAACTGTGTCTTCTGAGTCTTCTTGTTGGCCTGCATCAGAAGGCTCCTGCTCTTCTGGGAGATCAATCATGATGTCTTCACATAGTTTGGATGCAGCAGCCACATTCTGTGGAGTAATCGTGTGTCCAAAGCCCTGATACTGGCCCAGGGGGGAGGACGGCTTTGAACCTGCAGAAACTGCATCTTGTGACGATGAGGAAAGCAGGCTTGTGTGTTCAGTGTGCTCCGGGTCTTCAGGAAAACATTTTTTTTTTGGATAACCTCGCATTGTTCTCCCTTGAAGACAATATAAATTTATTAACCAAAAGTTATTTTCACCATTCTAAACATAATTCTATAACCGTCCCCTTCCCCCTCTTTGTCTTCCCCAAATTTGAAGAGCCCGTCTCGTGGTATTGCTTTAAATATTTTCTTATTTCTTAAGTTACTAGAGTAAATGACCATATCTTATGATCAGGGTGATGTCTCAATCTGTAAAATGCTCACCATACAAGCATGAGGACCTGAGTTCAATGCTCAGCACAGGTACAAGTCTGGGGCATGCTTGCAGTTCCTGTGCTAGTAAGGCAGAGATGGGATCCCTGGGGCTCTCTGGAGCCATCCTAGCTGAATCTGTGAGCCCCTGGGCAGTGAGAGACCCTGTTCCAAAACTTAAGCTGAACAGCTCCTGAGGTGAGGGACCACACTTGAGGTTCATCCCTGACCCCGTGTGCATATATCCACCCCACCCCACCCCACCCCCACTACAGACACACTCACACTAACCAAAGTTAAACAGCTGTTACTTACCAACTCGTCTTACTTGTTCAGAAATATCATCTCTGATATCCGACACATCCCACATAGCAAGGAAAGAGTCAAAGCATGAGCCTTCCTCTGCCTCTTGCACGTAGGGTTTATAGGAAAAGGAGTAATGATGGGCTATCGCCGCAAAGAACATTTCGATGCAGATGATGAAATCCTACAACAGCAGCAAAAGTATCAGGTTTTCAAACTGCTAACTTTTTCAGAGTTACTTAGGGTGTCAATAACTTTTTAAAATATAATCCAGATTATATTCATTTTTCAACATTTTTTTTTCTACTCCAAAACTCAACAAGCCAAGATTTACATCTCTTTTGCTTTTCCTTGGTCAAGTATTTCTCAATCCATTACCCAAGAACTGAAAGGGAACATGCAGATATAAGCAGACCAGGAAGGAAATCATTACCAATCAGTACCTACTTCTCTAGGGTTCCCGCTCCTCACTACAGAGTAAGCTAATAGTCTTGCCCACTGTTTGCTTGTTGGCAAGTTTGGGGCAACACTGCATCAAACAGCTCAAACAGTAAAACCCCTGAGTTCAGAGACAGTCCTACTTACCTGCAAGCCTGTGGCCACAGCTTCCGCACTTTGCCATTCCCACGTACGCTTTTCTGAAATAACGCCAACCTTAACCAACAAAGCTATAAGTACTGCTTGCCTGTGTGTCAAGAAAAAGTAAATGTCAAATGTAAACCATGAAATGAGGAGCTAGGGAGGTCACTCCGTGGGTAAAGCACCTGCCACACAAGTATGAGGGCCTAAGTTAGAATCACAGAACCCAGGTAAAGCTGGCATGGTAGTGAACATCTTAAACCCTGTGCTTCTGCGGTGAACTGAGAGGTGGGGTTAGATGATCCTGGGAGGACTGCAGGCCAGCAAGCCAGATGTGTACAGAGTGAACAATTAGGAGACCCCCCCAACCCCCCCTTCTCAGGGCTGGAGAGATGGCTCAGAGGTTAAGAGCACTGACTGCTCTTCCAGAGGACCTGAGTTCAATTCCCAGCAACCACATGGTGGCTCACAGCCATCTGTAATGAGGTGCCCTTTTCTAGTATGTAAGCATGCATGCAGATAACTGTATACATAATAAATAAATAAAATCTTAAAAAAAAAAAGAGACCCCATTCCCAAAGGAAAGGTAAGGACTGACACCCAAAGTTGTCCTCACTCACACAACAAACACATACACATACAAAGATTTAAATGTGCAACTAAAAACAGTGTACCCTAGGACTCCTCACCATCGTGCCTTCAGGGCATATTCCCAAACAAGTTGTGCTTATGTTAAATATACTAACCTTGAATTTCATTATGTATTCTCAGAACTTCATCATTTGGTTTATTTATCTTTTCTACTTTGAAACCATGTACAAATAATTAGATTCTAAGTTCTTACAGCTTATAAGTAAAGGTCTGATACTCAAGAGTGTTTACATGTATACTCATTACTAGGATTTTATTCCATCCATCCATCCATCCATCCATCCATCCATCCATCCATCCATCCATCCATCCATCCATCCAGATACAGGGTCTGTCTATGTAGCCCTGGTTGTTCTAGAACTTGCTATGCTTACTAACCTGGCCTTGAACTCAAAGAGATCTGGCCACCTCTGCCTCCCAAGTGCTGAGATTAAAGGCATGAGCCACCATACATGGATAATTACTAGGATCAAAAAAATTAGTATTTATTTTTGGTTGTATATGTGCACACATGTAACATGTTGTGTGTGTAGGTCAGAGGACAACCTGCAGGAGTCATTTCTTTCCATCCACCAGGTGTGTTCTTGGATGGAACTCCAACTGTCAGGCTTCGTAATGGCAAACATCTTTTCCTGCTGATCCATTTCACTGGCCCTATTATTTTCAGTTTTGTCCCTCCCCCATTTTAAACCTTACTTATGATTAGTGTGGCAGGGTACCAGAGGACAACTTTGTGGAGTTGGTTCTCTACCTTTACAAGGGTTTTGGGGTTCAAACTCAGTTCATTAGGTATGCCTAGCAAGTGCCTTTCCCTACTGAGCTATCCTGCCAGCCCACAGATTATCTGAATTATAATATAGTTGAGTCCCATAAGTTTTTATAGCATAAGCTACTTCTGAAGAAGACTGCGTGTGACGTTTGCCTCACATGCTCGTAGTTATTCTGGCAGTACCATTTCATGAATTTTTTCTCTTTTTCCCTTGAATTGCTAAACTGGATACATTTTTATATATAACTCTTATTACCTATCCTGTTTCTAATGTAATGCCATGTCAAGCTTTTTTGTTTGTTTTGCGACCCTGAGGGCAGACAGTAGGGCCTTGTATACACTTGTGTTTTAGAGAACCCTGACTGATAAACATCCCTTCACACCATTAAATGTTTTCTCCCACTATGTAACTCTGACTGGACTCAAACTTGCTATGTAGAGCTTACTGGCCTCCAACTCACAGAGAACCACCTGCTTCTGCCTCCCCAGGGAGTGCTGGAATTAAAGGCATGTGCCACGACACCAAGCAGATCCATAATTTCAATGATAGTATCAAGATATTTAGACTGTCTCAAATTACCTTTATCTTTTAAATGTCGTAATGGCCATCTGACTACTTTTGATTGTTTAAATACAAGATCACATGATGCATGGCTATAAGAGCAGGCTGTCTTCAAACTCATAATTTGAGATTCTCTTGCCTCACTCTGAATGCTGGGATTACAGGTATGACCATCATACATGACTAAGATTATTATTTTTTTTTTGTTTAAACTTTTTTTTGTTTTTTGTTTTTCGAGACAGGGTTTCTTTGTGGCTTTGGAGGCTGTGCTGGAACTAGCTCTTGTAGATCAGGCTAGTCTCGGACTCAGAGATTCACCTGCCTCTGCCTCCAGCGTGCTGGGATTTAAAGGCGTGCGCCACCACTGCCCGGCTTAAAAACTACTTAACTGCTGGGCCTCTCTCCAGCATAAGGACATCTTCCTAGTTCAGGCTGGCCTTGAACTGAAGTCCGGCCTCGGTCTTCCAAGTGCTGGGATTACAGATAGGCACTTCTGAGCCTGGCATTGCAGTCACATTATTTAAAAAAAAAAAAAAAAAGAAAGAAAGAAAAGAAAACCCTCCACCAACAGTTTATTGGCATTTATAAAATGAGAGTATCTAAGAGAAAGCAATACTTACCAGAACGAGACAAAGACTACGAGTTTGACACAAAGAAATTTGCCAACAGGTTGTATAGGGCTGAGTTCTTCCTTTAGCACTTTGTAAAACAGCAGGAGACAGTACATGGCAAACTAGAAACAAAAGCAACATTTAACATTCTGCAGTAGGAAGATAGTGACAGAATTGTTAAAGCTGAAACCAGAGCCTGCTCTACAGTAATGTTCCAGGCAGAACTTAAGGCCTCGTTCTAGTGCTTTTACTATGTTGCTACAGATGCATATACATTAAATTTCTCAAGAGACATGAACATTTTTCCTGAATATGTTTCTAAGTGTTCACATACTGCAACTCAAAGCAATAAGCAAATGACATGAACGGAAGAAAAGGTAAAGTGTTCCTTCAGTCAAAAGAAAAAGGAAAACGTATTTGTTACAATTTTAAACACAAATTACTGCTACTTTTATAAAATACTTAGATTATTAGTCTCTTGTGTATCATTTACATAACACACAGTTTGTAAGTCAACATATTAAATAAATACAGTTTCAATAAAATTATGACCATGAAATCTGCATCATACAAACAAATTTCCTTGAGAGCAGCAGTTACTCAAAGTGCCTTTACTTCTTAAAATAAGTGCTCATGATTTTAGTCAGTTAATCAACCAGTATTTCAACAGCAAGAAGCATTTCTGAAAGCTTACTTTTCTCATGAAAACCATAGATACTTTATGCTCATTTAAAATACTTCAAGATATGAAAGCAGGAAAGGAAGAACAAAGTTATTCAGATCCTGGCACCGGAGCCAGGGCCAGGCAGGGTACTTGTCCTATACTCATGGGACCCTGGGTCCAAGCTCTAGTACTGTTAAAAACAAACAAACTGAGATTCAGCACCAAACCATGCTACCCTCATGCTGGGATTATATCCAGGGCTGTGTGTGCTAGGCAAATACTCCAGACATATTCCATCAGTCATAACCCAACTTTCTAACTTTTGTGTATGTTTCATAAAGTTTACTTTTAGTATGGTTAAATGCTAGTGGGAGGACAAAATTATGCCCACTGGTTAAGCGTGTCTCCAGTCCTTTCTTAAAATGGGCATTACATCCCAGAACACAACACTTCAGACTGTTTGTTTAGGCTACATTCCCAGAAAAATGACTATAAGGGGGAAGCTCTGGAGAATAACCCATTTACTAACATTATAAACTTTTCGTGCGTGTGTGTGTGTGTGTGTGTGTGTGTGTGTGTGTGTGTGTGTGCGTGCGTGCGTGCGTGCGTGCGTGTGTGTTTATTTTCAGACAGGGTTTCTCTATGTAGCCCGGCAGTCTTGGAACTCAATTTGTAGATCAGACTGGCCTAGATCACAGAGATCTGCCTGCCTCTGCCTCTCAAATTCTGAGATTAAAGGCATGCAATGCTATGCCCAGCTCCATTATACACGCTAATATTATATGTATTAGAAGTGTCTGAGTTACTATACTGTAGAAAGCACTACCTAAAAACTTTGAATGACATACCCATCAGCTCAAACACTGTCTTTAGAGCCCTTCAGTTTCTAGAAGAGCACCCATTTGAAAAAAAAAAAAAAAAAAAAAACAGTCTTTATTTCTTTTTTTTTTTTTTTGAGACAGGGTTTCTCTGTGTAGCCCTGGCTGTCCTCACACTCTGCCTCCAGAGTGCTGGGTTTAAAGGCGTGCACCACCATGGCCCAGCTCAAATTCTTCCATTTTTATTTACTCTATCCTCTCATGCCAAATAGACTTTTCCCTCTTACTAATAGGCCGACTGAATTATGGTTTGTTTATTTAGAAGGCACGCAGTGCTTATACCCACATAGCTTTTAAGAGCAAACAGGTCTGCATGTAAGTCACCAAATCATTCATGAACATATTACTGTACTTTTGTATAAAGGCATACATTATAGTTGTTTCAAGTTCCATGTGCAAATTAAAAAGGTATTTTTTTTCTCAAGTAATAGTGCCTGATAATACTTAGCAATAGAAACTAATTTAGTACAATTAAGAAGAATGATGATTTACTTACCAGTTGTGACAAATTATTTATTATAACCAAGTAAGTCCAAGCGTTGGAGAAACTAAAGTTCCCTTCATCGTAGACACCAACAATCTCACATATCCTTAAAAATGGCAAAAATTAATTTTATGACTAACCAAGTAAACCCATATCGTAGTATGTACCCTTTAGAGACTTATTTTACATATATGAATGTTTTTCCTGCATGTATACCTGTGACAATGTGCATGCAATGCCCTTGGTGGCCGGAAAAGGGTGCTGAATACTCTGGAAGTAGATTTAACTAAACCCAAGTCCTCTGCAAGACTACCAAGTACTCTTAACCACTGAGTGATCTCTATCCCTGAACACATACTTAAGGTATAGCAGAAGCAATACTTAAAATTGAGAGTCATTTGCTTCAGTAAGCCTATGGAAATCACCGGACTTCAGTCAGTGACAGAGAAACATTTTTCTACATATGTATAATTATTCCCTTTAACTTAAAGGAATTATAAACTAAGAACCATTAAACTACAGAATAACCACTAAGCTTCAAAACAAAACTAAACAAGGCCTAATTTTGGAAAGTTTGCCTGATAAATGTTAATTAACTTCAATTCACTTTTTCCTGTAAATTACCTTGCAGGTAAGTATCTGAAGACCCAGACACCCCCACACCACAAGTAAATTTTACCACAAGAATTAAGTTATATGCTTAGGCAGTTTCTAAGCAGCAAGGAAATAAATCATAATTCCAAAAACAATTCTAGCTCAAAAGTAGAATAGAGTTGAACTGTTTTTATTTATTATTTTTTTAACATGATTCTCTTTTGTGAGCTGATGGACGTTAAGTGAGATCTAGCAGATGAATCGTATAAATCGACATTTTGGATTTTTTAGGGAACAGTTTCCTAGGTAGTTTGATTACGTTTCATATTTTGATATCAAATGGTTTTTGTGTGTTTACTTTGAGACTTGGTCTCTCACTGTAGACCAGACTGGCTTTGAACCCACAGAGCTCAGCCTGCCTTTGCTTCCCAAGTGCTGGGATTAAAGGCCGCAGCTCCTAATAAACTCTTAACAAGGTAGAAAATAAATCTGTGTGGGGTTAACCCAACTAAAGGATGTTTTGTTTTTCTGATGTGTTTAACAGTCTGCTCTCAGAAGGAAGTGAATCTCCTGGCAATTCTTTGCACTGTTATTATAATGGAATCCAGCTTTTGTATATGTATTTACACCATTAATCAACATTGTTTTTCTACTTGCTTTTCCCTTTTAAGAACATAGATTATATTTTAAGACAGGGCCCAGTGGGCTTTAAATTCTCAATTCTTCTGCCACTACCTTCAAGTGCTTGGGATTATTTGCCATCCATCACTACACTTGGTTTTTGTGGTGCTGGGAATTAAACCCAGGGCTTTGTGCTTACAAGGCAAACACTCTTATTAACTGAGCTATATTCCCAGGCATGTATCATGAAGATTAAAAAAAAAAAAAAGCTAAAGGAAGGTCATACTTACAATGCTGTAACAGTGGTAATTGGTCTGACCACAGTGTACTGCAATACTCCTAGTTTGCATCGAAAGAGCAGCATTCTGCAAAAGACAGAGAACATCTCAACTATTCAGTGGCATCATTACATCTCAAAGCCTCCAAACTAAAATCACTTTGACAAATGACACCAATTATGTTGAATTCTGCCAAACTGGTTCTCCTAAATGACAGTAGGACAAGAATGTGGACAGCAACAGGCAGTGGTGGCGCACGCCTTTAATCCCAGCACTCGGGAGACAGAGGCAGGCGGATCTCTGAATTCAAGCACAGCCTGGTGTACAGAGTTCCAGGACAACCTCCAAAGCAATACAGAGAAACCTTGTCTCGAAAAACAAACAAACAAACAAGCAAAACAAAACAAAACAAAAAAGAATGTGGACGGCAACCAGGAACTCTGAAGACCACTTTGAAATGATTTAATAACTTTACCTCTGAAAGCTTCCCTTGAGCTCCACTATAGTGCAACACAGAACAAAAGGAATAGGAGATGTTGGGACCTTGGTCAAGAATTTTCCTGTTTCCTACTCTTGCCATGATACACACCTCAAATCAACAGGACCAAATGATCTGAATCTGTGAGCCAAATAAACCTGACTGTCTCAGCAATTTTGCTGACAGAATTGACAATGGTAGCTCTAACTAACACAGCTCCAGGGGAGACACTGAGGCACAACTGAACTGTGTGCTTGTGCCCATGAACACACAGAAAGCAATTACATTTAGGATGCCGCCTCCTTGTGAATGTGTTCACAATGGTTTTACCTGGGACAAGGGAAACCACCCAAGGCTTGGCAGCATATTAAACAGGCTGGGGCCCTGGACTGAACAACAAGAGGCAGGGAGCTGAGTAGCAGCTTTCATCTCTCTTTGCTTCCTGACAGCTGGTGCAATATCCCATCATGCATCTGCCACATGCCATTCCTACCATAATGGACTGTACCCTCAAACTGTGTTCCTAAATTGCTCTTGTCAATTAGTTGTTGATTATGTGATCACATACAAGATCCTGTATGCTCCAATTCCAAACTGTAAAAAAGATGCTGATTAAATATTTTCTAAGGTTTTCTCCTGCAACACATTCATGAACTTTTCTATTGGGGTGAGCAATGTGAAAATAAAACAAAAATAAACAAAAAACCTCAACATATACATTGTAAAAATGTATTGTTATCTTTCAAACTGTTCTACGTGCTATGTAGGAAAAGGGATCTGCCTGCTGTCTCTGCCCTTGCAGAGAGCTGACTGACATTTAGAACCCACAGTGGCCAATTAAAATCAAACATACTTACTCTCCCATAGCCCACGGTGGACAGCAGCATAGTGGAGGGAGATGCTGTTGCTGGTCTTTAGCTTCCAGGTGTAACATCACGTTTGGGAATCGGATGGTTAGGTAGTTGTTAAGGAATATCATAAAGTTATAAATGACGTACGCTTCATAACACTCCCTCCAGGTATCCACGTATATGGCAATTTTGGGATATTTCAAAGCCAACCACTATGGAAAAGCACAGAAGTTAAAGAGCTGTAACTTAAATAATGTGAATTACCACTCAAATTCATGCTACTCACAGAAGCTAACTTTAGAACCTGGGAAATCTCGTCTGTCACATACATGCCATAAATGCTCTAAAATAATCCAGAATGAATTTACTTGGGGAGGAGGGTGGAGAATGCTGAGGGTTAAGCAATACAAGGCTGTGTTCCACCACTGAGCTACATCCCAAGTCCTGTAAACACCCTTAAAGTGCACCAAGCATCTTTGACACAGTTAAACAAAACAGAGAATTTCTTGGGGTAAATAATGAGCACAAAAAGAAAAGTTAACTGAGTTCTCAAATTATTTGAAGATAAGAAAAAGACATGATCACAGAAAATGCTACTGAAGACTTTTCTTTCAGGTGTTCCCCCCCCCCCCCCCCCCGACAGGGTCTACATAACCTGGATATTCTGGAACTCACTATGTAAACCAGTCTGGCCTCCAACTCAGAGTTCCACCTAAGTAATGGGATTAAAGGCATGCAATACCACACCTGGATAAAGTAATTTTCTTTATAACTAATTACCATAGTAGTTATATCCACTGTGGAAAGTCTTTTTTTCCTTTTATTTTCTCCTTTTTTTGAGGGGGGGTACAAATAAAAGACTTCATAGCTAAGAAGCATGACAGTGAACTATCACCATCCTTACGAGATCTGCTTCTATGGGTTCAGCTAACTTTGGAGCAGAAATATTTCAAACAGTCCAACCCCAGGTTTGCACTCTGGAATTCACTATACAGACCAGGCCAGCTTCAAACTCATGGAGGTCCTCTTACTAGCCTACAGCACTGATATTCTACCAGGTGTCATAAGCCAGGTAGAGATGGCTGTGAGTATAGAGGAGATGCACCTAGTCCATATGCTAATGCTACACAATTTTTTTTTGCTTTGTTTTTTTTGTTTTTTGTGACAAGGTTTCTCTGTATTGCTTTGGAGGTTATTCTGGAACTTGCTCTGCAGACCAGCAAGGCCTTGAACTCACAAATATCCTCCTGCCTCTGCCTCCCATGTCCTGGGATTAAAGGTGTGTGTCACCAATGCCTGGCAATGCTACACATAGAAGGGAACTGAGGGCTGGGTGGTGGTGGCACACACCTTTAATCCCAGCACTTGGGACGCAGAGGCAGGAGGATCTCTATGAGTTCAAGGCCAGCCTGGTCTACGGAGCAAGTTCCAGGACAACCTCCAAAGCAATACAGAGAAACCTTGTCTTGAAAAACCAAAAAAAAAAAAAAAAACCTTTCTTAAAAAAAAAAAAAAAAAAACTTTTTTTTAAAAAAAAAAAAAAAAAAAAAAAAAAAAAAAAAAAAAGGAACTGAGGATCAGCACATTTTGATGCCTGGGCGGGAAAGCAGTCCCTTGTGGCTGCACATGAATGGGGGTAATTTATAATTTTACATTCTTTAAAATGTTAAAAGCCACTAATCTTAAAATGGAAGCAACCGAACAAAGAAAAAAGCTATATATCAAAAACATTTGAAATATCTACATTTTTCATTATATTATCTTCCTTACCAATATTAAAAAACAAGTGAACTTGGCCAGTTGTGGTGGTGTATACCTTTAATCCCAGCACTTGGGGGACAGAGGCAGGGGGCTCTCTGTGAGATCAGTGCCAACTTAGTGAGCTCCAAGACAGCCAGAACTATAGAGTAAGATCCTGCCTCAAAAATATAAATAAATACAAATGAAAGAAAGAAAGAAAGAGCTGGGCTATGATGGTGTACACTTTTAATTCCAGCACTCAGGAGGCAGAGGTAGGTGAATCTCAGAGTTTGAGGACAGCCTGATCTACAGAGGAAGTTCTAGGACAGCCAGGGATACAAAGAAGCCCTGTCAAAAAAAAAAAAAAAAGTCAAAAAAATTCTTTTTTAAAAAATTTGATTTTATGTGTATGAGTATTTTGCCTACATGTATGTGTATATGCTATGTTCATGCCTGGTGCCTACAGAGATCAGGAATTGGATTCCCTGGGACTGGAGTTATAGTTGTGAGCTGCCATGAAACCTGGGTCCTCTAGAAGAGCAAAAAGTACTCCTTACCACTGAACCATGTCTCCAGCCCAAGAATTCTTAATGAAATACAATAAATATACTTACACTATCCAAACTGTATATTGGGACCATCCAAAGAATCCTATGGAAAGTAAAACAAAAAAAAATTTAATATCATGTTTATGAATTAAGCCAGTCATTACTAGTAATAGTAAATATATTAGCATTTGACCTTATAATAGGTTTTTGAAGTTCGGGTTGTGTGTAATGCACCAAATGTTGCAGAATCCCCCAGAGGGACACAGGTATCGTCAGCAGCAGAAAGATACCAGCAATAAACCATGCTTTAGTGTGTATTCCAACCTTGAAAGACAAAAGAACACATTAGTTTAGATTCTGATACTAAAACTATAAATATCAGTATTTTTATTTCTCAAATTTTCATTTGATTACTAATACTGCTTGGTATTTTCCAAATAATCAGTGGTGGTGGTGGTGGTGGTGGTGGTGGTGGCACACACCTTTAATCCCAGCGCTCAGGAGGCAGAGGCAGGTGGGTCTCTGTGAGTTTGAGGCCAGGCCTGGTCTCCAGATCGAGTGCCAGGATAGGCTCCAAAGCTACACTGAGAATCCCTGTCTCGAAAAACCAAAATAAATAAATAAGTAAATAAAGATTTACTTTTTAAAAAATTATATATACATATGTGTCAGTGAGGATATGTGCATGTGTGAGTGTGGTTATAGATTCCTTGCAGCTGGAGTGACAGGGTGTGGTGGCATACACCTTTAGTCCCAGCAACTTGGCAAGAGGGAGCTCCAGACAAAAGAACCCTCCCTCTTCAAAAACAATTTACCTGATATCTTTGCGCATTCCTAGCATGTTACTCGCTTTCTGTATGTGATCTCTGCTTGCTCTTTGTAAGTAAGAACCAGCATCCAGGATGCTGAGGACTACTAAAGACTGAGTGTCCTCACAATGTGCTGTTAGGAACAAAGTTCCATTTCAAACAATCATAAACCAAGTGACCAGAAAAATGAGTCCCTGCTATAGTCATGTACCCTTAGCACAATATCACTTTGGGTACTTCTCTCTCTGTCTCAGTGTCCTCATCCATATAAAGAGGAAATTTCCTGTATTTTGCATTTCTAAGAGGATTAGATAAAATCATAGTTACAGAATAAACAAGAACTCTCCAGGCTATGCTCTAGTTAATGCCTCTAACCTGAAACTCAAAAACAAACCCTTTCTTTAACCTCAGTCCTTTCTACCTATTATGCTATCATCTCAAAACTGATATATTCTCCTGACCCTAAGTTTCCACCAAATATTCCTACTCAATTCTGTTCTGGTCCTTTCAATTTCAGTGAAATCACTAAGCTCCCCAATCACCTTTCTACTTGTGAAAGTGACAGAGTTGCAACAGTGGACACCATTCAAAATGTTCCCCTTGAAACTCTCCTCAGGAATTCACTTCATTGATTCTTTGTAAATTCCCGTGAAACACTGGTACCAGGTCCTTTGCTGTTCCTTGTCTCTGTCCCGAACCTTTCAGAAGCTGAAACTCAACCCCTAATGTGAATGGACATATTTGCAGATAAGGCTGATGGGAGGTGGAAGTGATTTAGGTGAAATGAGGTCATAGTCTCAGAGGGCTGGTGATCTCAAAATGAGATGTTAACCACCTGAGGATTCAGAAGAGCATGGCAACCTGAGAGCACCCTCCCCAGACAGCAACCCCTCTGCCCCCCCCCCCATATCTGATATCCAAAAAAGTTTTCAAGACTGTGAAAAATCAAGTTCCTGTTGAAGGCACTCAGTTCATGGTATAAACACGTGCTTCTGTGTGAGTGCTAGCTGTCGGGCAAGCTCCCAGGTAATTCTGTGTCCACCTCCATCTTGCCACAGACACCATTCATGTGGGTTACAGAGAGGGCACCAAGGTGGCCAGGCTCTCCTGGGTATTGCCTTACCTACTAAGCCATCTTCCACAGCCCAGTTTATGGCATTTTCTTATGGCAGAGAGTAGAGAACAAGACCCCCACGTGTATCTGCAGTTTAAGCTGTTCTGAGGTCTACACTTGCATATCCAAGTGCATTACTTGACAGGCTCACCCGAAGGTCCTCCATTAAACATCCCAATCAGAACCTGAGGGGCTTGACTTGGGGTGTTAGCAGTTTACACTGCAGATTAGAAATGGTCTTAAAGCTTAGTTGAAGCTCACAACTAAGAAAGATCATATACATTTCACTTATCTTCCTATACTATATTTCAAGGAATACTAATTGAGGAAATTATATTTATGTTAAGATTGCTACACCTAAATTTGGATGAACAAATTTCAAATAACCTAAAAACTTAACAAATAAAAAATTTTAATATTGTAATAGCCTTAAATATCTATGTTGACTACAATTTTTTAAAAGCCAACAAAAGTTTAGTGACTAAAAGAACTATACTTTCTGGTTATTAATAATTGGCAATTTAAGTTCATTTTATACATATATTACAAATATGCTAGGTATCCAACTTGTAATGCTTTCCCAATGTCACAATATTGGCATGAACAAATAATAAAACTTGGGCCAGAAAGATGGCTCGGGTAAGTTGCTTGCCTCACTCAGCCTCACGACAGAAAGAACCACTCCCCCAACTTGTCTGCCCTCTGCCCTCTGGCAACTGGGCCATTCCACGAATACACCAACAAACGCATTTTTAAAAATAAAGAAACAAATACACAAGGAACTTTTGTAAAACTTTTGCTTTGACTAAGGAGTAACTTCAAGTCCGGTAATGGTAGAATGCTTGCTTGCCTCAGATGCACAAAGCCCTGGGTTCCATCCCCAGCGTTGACTAAACAGAAGCACTGAGAGTGTGGACGTTGGAGGATCATCCTAGACTACAAAGCAAGTTCCAGAACAGCCGGGTCTACATGAGACTTTATCTCGTTCAAGAAAGAAACAAAAGATGTAACTTCAAACGTAAAAACAATTATCAAAGAAACTAACGGTAATCCTTTAGTTCCAGGAAGCAGGCTAAAACCTATAAAATCCAGAACATAGCTCTCAAGATAGTTTTATTTGGTCTAGTCAAGCGCAATATCTGCATAGCGGATCTGATTTCAAGAATAATCTGGGAACTGATGGGTACCGGCAAAGCTTTCTAAACAGCAACATTAACTATTTTCTCCACCCGGCCCCGCCTCCACTTGTAGCGGCAAAATGAAATTAGACCGGTCGGTTTAATGTTCAAAGATGAAATGTTTTGCAGACCCCAAGCATTAGAAGGCGGACAAAGGGATTCTGCCAACCAGTGAGTGTAAGATGGGGTAGAGGTGCTGGATCCTCTTACCTTCAGTTTCTGAAGTTCCCAAATACACAGGGGAACCGAGATCAGGATGGAAACTACATAAATAAGTACGAGCAGGGGTCGGATCCATCGCCTCCAGTTGTTCCGGTTACACGCGCAGGGCATTTTCATAAACAAATTAGCTTTCGACAGCCAAGAAAACGAACTAAGCCGAGATTTTGGCGTTTTCTCTCCTTCGGCTGTTTTCTCCTCTGGCACTCTATAGGGGAAAATTTAGCAGCCGCTGGCTCCGCGTCCTTGGGTCGCGCTGTGGTTGCGGCTGCCGCAGCGGCGGCCGCTCGAGATGCTCGCAGGTGCGGGCTGCATCCTCGCCGGCCACCCGGCATGCACCCGGTGCGCCGCGGCGGGGTCGCCGCCTCGCCTGGTGTCTCCTAGAGCCTCGGCTGCACCATGGCCCCGAGGACAGCCGGGGTGACCTGGGGGCTCGGACCTGCAGCTGGAAGCCGCCAACTCCCTCCCTCCCGCTCTGGCAGGCGAGTCTCCGCCCCCCGGAAGACCCGGCCCGCGACTTCCTCACTCACGCTTTCGGAACTTCCAAGGTAGTGGAACTCATCTTCAAAAGATGTGAGCCTACTTCCGTTTCCGTTCAGATGCTTCAAGCCAATGATCTGCGGTGAGTTTCAAGCTAGGCAAACCCTGTCCGGTAACGTCAAACCTTTATGATTGGTCAGTTACAGAGGAGGCGTGACTGTAACCTAGGTTACTGAAGGGCGTGGCGAGGGATGCAGTGCGGGTTTGGCCAACTCGGCTGGTCCTGGTGATCACGAGGAGGGTTCCAAAAGTTGTAGGAACTGGGGACGTTCCAGAAACACCTGCTGTATTCTTGAGACTTTGTTTGTCCGAAGGAAGCCTTAGAGAAGACAGTCACTGTGGAGCGTAACTAGTGACAGCTTTTTTCTTAGAAGACTTCCCAGTTGTCTTTAGGGGTGGAATCGGAAGCCCGATGGAAAAAACAGAATAGGAAACCTTCTTCCCTGAGATCCCAATCAGTTGCCAGAGTTAGAGCCCTAGGGAGGGGTTTTTCTGCATAATATCTGAACGGAGTAGAAGAATCATTCTAAAAAAAATAGTTTATTTGGAAGTAACTGCCGATGTGAAATGTTCATATTTGGAGCTTGTGTTAAAAGTCCTACTCATTTAGGATTCAGAAGATTGGCTTTCTGACACCGTATTCTTTGCACTCAAAGCTTTTAGCTGTATAGGTTTGCAGATCGAAAAATGGCAAATGGGACCGTGGTATTTCTAAATGAAGGGAGCAAGCAAACATCTGTGTCCCAATTAGAGACAAGCATATGGCCTATATTGTCATTTTCTGAAATCAGTTGTATTACATCCTTTACCTGTGTTATAGGAGTTGATCTGCACAAAAGTACCGAGAGACAGGCAGTTTTCCGTTTCACAGATGAGAAGTTTCAAGTGATTGATTTGCCCACACTTTTTTCTGACCTTGGATTCTGCTTGATGTTTAAATAATTGGTTTGTCATTGTTACGCCCAGATAGAGGAGTCCACCAAAGACCACCAAGAAGGCTGAATCCGTATGCCAAAGCAAAGAGCCTTTATTCAAGCTGTAGTTTGGACCCTCCATGTGTCTGACCCAGAGGTACGAGATTGGAGAGTCTCGAGCTCAGTTGCGGTGGAGTTTTTTTTTTATCGAAATAGGTTGGGGTGAGGTGCTAGTTTGTGAGTGTGTGTGTGTGTGTGTGTGTGTGTGTGTGTGTGTGTGTTCCTGGAATCCAGTGTTGCCTGCCAGTACATCGAAACTCTGGCTGGTTTTTTATTAACCCTGTCATGGCATCTGTGTGGCTAAGCTGCCCTGGGCCCCATAGTCATCACCTACAACCAGGGAAATTCTGCCTATTTCCACAACATGTGGGCAAAATGTTGTGGGCCCTAGACTCCCATAGATACAGATGGAATAGTATATTCCTGCCACTCTGTGAGCCAGAGCCTGAAGATTGACTTCCACAATAATTTTCCTATTCTTTCATCTCTCCATTTTGCAACTTTTCCTTAAAGGGGTACTACAACTTTTGTTTGGTCTAAACTAAAATGGTTAGAGGGAAATTCCTGATCATTAATGAATACCTTGTGAATTGTTGAAGTTTAGAAAATAAGAGAAACTCTTGCTCTACAACTCAATGTCATTACTATTTACTTCTTGGCAATGACAGTTTTTTGGAGAGACTGTCTAATGTGTGTTTAGCCACACACACTCATTGCTGCCCACAGTCGTTTTACCCCTTCTTTTCTCATGGAAAACATTTTTTTTACATAATTTCTGAAATCTATCTCAAACCTCTGATGTTCTGGTGGAAGCTCCATCTCAGCCTCTGGCATCCTATACCTAAGGAGTCTGGGATGTTTAGGTGGAAGCCCTATTGCTGTCCATATATACCCAAAAATGTTGTGATGTTGGGAATCTCCAGCTAGGGCCCCCCTTCCATACTCTGGTCTCATGCTTGAAATTCCAAACCCCACCCTGAGAAAGCCCACCAAAAGACGGCCTCTCCCTAGGACTGCTCAAGACCATGACTTCAGGGTATATAAGACCTGGTAGCCATATTTGCCAGGTGATTCCTCCCTTGCCTTCCCAAGGGTCACCCGGGAGTTGCTTTGCTCTGCTCATATTAAACCTGGATTTACTCACTTGGCCTGGTCTGAATTATTACATTGGCCATGGTATTACTAGTGGGGGATTTAAACTTTTCATCTAGCACCATCCTTCATGTTTTGTTACAGCCATTAAATGTTTGTCTTTTTTTCTTAGACTGTGAGTTTCCCTGAGAAAGCTAAATAAAAGTCTTGAACCATTAACAACCATTATTAAAAACCAGGGCAATGAGGAGGCAAAGGTGTCAGGTGCAGACATTGTTAGACCCCCGAAAACTCAAGTATCCGGGGTCTCAGGCCAGGTTCGCGGTCACCCCAATCACCAGGCGGATTCGAGAGCTTGCTGCAAACTGCACGAGGCTTTATTGTAATTTAACGAACTAACCCCATGTTAGCTCGGGTCTTTCACCCACCCGCCATGGCAGACGGCTAGAAAAAGACGGCTCCTAAGGGCTCCCAAAAGATCTTATAGGGCAGCGTAAGGGGAGTGTCTAGGGGTACGCACAGGCTCATGATTGGTGTGCTTCCAGGCTTGGAGGGCTTGCCCTGTGTTGATTGGTCAACTGGTTGTTATGGCTCATAGGCCCTCCCAGGGTGGTTGCTATGCTCTCTACGTCATTGCTGTGCGCTTGTCCATAAAGCACACCCAGGGTCGTAAAGCATAGCGCCACCAGCTAACTTCTGATTGGTTCCTTGTCACAAGACAGGCATCTGACTTCTACGTGACCAAGGCAGGTTTATGGCAAGCACGTGTTCGGCTGTTATGGCTGCCAAAAGGGAAGCCGGTTCCTTCAACATGACTTTACACACACTCTTGAGCTGGAATTCATTTTTGATGAAACCTCTACATGGCAACAGAGAAACCAGAAAGAGTGAGGTTTTTTTTCCTTTAAATTTGTTGATGCACAAAAGCTCTGCCTAATTTTGAAGGGTCCCTCCTCCCCTCCCTCCTCCCCCCTCCCCCTTCCCTCTTCCTTCCTTCCTTCCTTCCTTCCTTCCTTCCTTCCTTCCTTGTCTATCTGTGTAGACCAGACTGGCCTGGAACTCATAGCCATCCACCAGTTTCTGCTTCCCCAGTGCTAGGATTAAAAGTGTGTGCCACCTTGCTCCGAAATTGACAGTCACTGATTTTAGAGCAAGATCTGCTGACCTTACAGGGCTCTGCAATGAATTCAGAGAGAGAACAAGGGCCTGTAAAGCCAGGGGCTGAAAAAGGCCTCACCTGTGTCACTAGTTACATAGAGGCTGGAAGCTGTGGCCCCTTGCTTTGTCTTCTAATTCTCTCCTGAGTAGCTAACATCTTTTGTCCTGCCTAGCATGTTCCTAACATAGATGTTTTCATTTCCCCTCTCTATCCTCAGCAAAGATATTTATACATATAAATATATTTGTTTTTAGTATATACATATATATGTATACACACACACACACACACACACACACACACATCGTGTAGGTGGAGGGAGTCTCTGTACATAGTCCTGGCTGTCCTGGAGCTTGTTCTGTAGACCAGGCTGGTCTTGAACTCACAGAGATTTGCTTATCTCTGCTTCCGGAGTGCTGGGATTAAAGGTGTGGAATATGCCCAGCAGCAGTAGCAAAGACTTACCTAATTATTCTATTTCTTAGGTTTCAGCCCTCAGAAGAAAAAGGAGGGAAAAGTAGACAATTGTAGACAGTTGTGTGTTCTGGGACAGCTGTATCTGTATTTCAAACATTTAAAACACAAATTAAAGTATCACAGCACTTCTGTGATTTCCAGCAGCCTGTGATCTGTTGGCCCACAACACTGGGAGCTGTAATCCTAGGGTCATTCACCTGTGTCTCTGACCTGGGTTTGTGCTTCTCCTTGGTCTTGATTCTTGATTCATCCCAGATACAATCCCCACATTTGTAGTACTTATCTGAATAGTTTCTGATTCCTTCTTATGCATTCCAGTCTTTACTTTTCCATATTTTACTCTGGTTCACTTCCCCAGCACATGCACTTTTACCCTGGGTTTTGTTTGTTCCTTGTTTAAACCATTGAGATAAATATCTAAATGAATATTTAAATTGCCCTTGCCCTTATCCTCAAAGCTGTGCTACTAGAGTTACTGGATTCATGACTATTGGGTTCTCTAGCTTACACACACACACACACACACACACACACACACACACACACACACACAACCAACAACTGACAAAGTGTCTTCTGCTGCCCAGTAGATTTCAGTAATGAAGGTGACTAGCTCAGGACAGAATACTGTGAAGGTGTAAACAACCTATTCGGTAATAAATTACCCCGAGTAAAATCAGTGCTTACTGGATGAGCTTCCAATTATCTGGCAGGAAAGCTTCCTTCCTTCCTGCTCCTGGCCCATCCCCTCCCTCCCCTTTCTCCTCCTCTCCTCCCGCTCTCTTTCTGGGTCTCTTGTGGTCTAGGCTGACCTCAAACTTGCTACATATCCAAGGATGACCTTGAATTTGTGATCCTTCTCAATCTCTCGAGTGCAGCACCAAGACAGTTCACGCAGTGCTCGGATTGAACCTGGTGCTTCATGCATGCTGGACAACTTCTCTACCAACTGAGTACTTCCTACCCAGTCCAGCTCTTATTTGCGCCCACCAGTGTTTTGTTTTTAGACCAATTTAAGTGACACTTCTGGAGTATCAAAGTTCAGGCTAAAGGGAATGAAAACAACCCTTCTCCTTGTGTGTGTGTCTTGAGATAGGGTCTCCTTCTGTACCTTAGGCTGGCCTTTGCAATTCTCCTGCCTCAAATTCTCAGGGGTTACAATTGCAGATCTGAGCTATCACATCTGACTTGGGAAAAATCCTAGTAACTTCAAATAGAAATGTTGAGAGGAAAAGTCTTTGTGGCAAAGATGATCTGGTATTCTTTAAAGAAACCTATGACCTATACAAGGGGAGTTGTTAATCCTGCTGGATGAGAATAAAACCACTACCACAATTTTAACCCAAATTTGAAGCAAGCTTTAATTATTGGCTAAGATGATGGACTCTAGTCAGGTCTGTTCCCTGATTCCCAAAAAATGGCCAGTAGTCACATTTTGCAGAAGCTTAAAAAGGCAAACTAATAAGGCCACATATTTGTTATCAGGTCCAATCAGGGGCCAGCATATATCCTGATTTATTTCCTGCCTGTGTACCTCCCACACATGTGTGATCAAGGACTTCTGGCATAGTTGGGTCAGACAGACTTGTTTAGGGGAGTGAAAACATGTGGTTTGTTATCTCCCATAAACAATAGCCTCCAGCATTTCAGGAAGCATCTGTCCTTGGGCTGGGGCCTTGCAGATCAGAGGCATTTTTGTTTTGTGGATCTCTTAGGCATAGTAATTAAAACTTAAAAAACGTACACTGGGTGTTGGTGGCGCACGCCTTTAATCCCAGCACTGGAGGCAGAAGCAGGCGGATCTTTGTGAGTAATAGGCCAGCCTGGTTTACAGAGTGCCAGGAGAGGTTCCAAAGCTACAGAGAGAAACCTTGTCTTAAAAAACAAAACAAAACAAAACGAAAATCCTAAGCACTTGGAAGGCAGAGGCAGAGGATCTCTGTGAGTTCGAGACCAGCCTGGTCTACAAGAACTAGTTCTAGGACAGCCTCCAAAGCCACAGAGAAACCCTGACTCAAAAAACCAAAAAACAATAACAAAAACTTAAAATGTCATCTTTCGCTCTCACAAAGGATTAGAGGGATGGTTTTGTGTTATGTGAAGGATGAGTTTTATCTTCAACTATGAGGAGAACACTCTTTGAAGATGGAGGTTTCACCTTTGCATTTCTCACATTTGTTGGGCTGTTGAGTTCTATTATGTAAACGCATGAGCACCCATCCTGAATGGACTTGTTTGCTTGACAAGGAGTGTGTGGTGTGTGCACTGTCCTGCTTTAGGGAGTGAGTGCTCTGAATGGAGTCCACCAGGCTTAGCCAGTGCAGACAGTGCCTGCTTATGGAACATCTTCCCTCTGTAGATAAGGGTTGAATTTGACTCCTCCTCCTCCTTCCTATTTATTTATTTATTTATTTATTTATTTATTTATTTGGTTTTTGAGACAGGGTTTCTCTGTTTCTCTGTGTAGTCTACTTTTCTTGTTTTATATGAAGTGTGAATGAATAAGTGATCCCTAGCTGGCAGTGCTATTTCGGGAAGTTATGGAACCTTAGGAAGTGGTAAGTATTGGATCCTCGGTTATTGGGTTTCTCCGATGATGCAATAAGCCAAATCAAGCCGAATTAACAAGACCAGATTTAATAAATAGGGCAGAGCCAAGCAAAGTAGAGCAGTACTGGGTGACACTCAGGAAGGCAGGAGAGAAAGCATGTGGCTCATCTATAGGCCAGGTCTTAAATATCCTGTAGGTGTGGTCTTGATCAGCTCGCGGGAGGAGCTGACCCTTGGTCTTTCTGAAGGCCAGGGTCTGGAGTGGGAGGAGTGAAACCCGAGCTGAGATTCCCAACAGGAAGTAGGGCTCTTGGGAACATGCCTTGAAGGTTACACTTCTTCCCAGTTTGTAGTTCCTCCCGTTGTTTCTTGGTGTTCTTCCCAAGTACATAGTCCTGCAGCCATGGAATAAACCCTCTGAAACTGTGAGCCACTTGCACAAATAATAGTAAACAACCGCCTCGGTCTTCCTGCTCCAGAAGATGCAGTCTCTGCCCTTCTGGATCTCCAACTACCGCCCAGGAGACGAGCCAACCCCTCCTCTTCCTTACAAGGGGTCATGTCTGCACACCTGAAGCTACACTCCTAGGATGCAGCTACCACCGCAAGTCCACTGGTGAAATAAGATGCCACTACAACTCTCCACATTTAAGGTGTTTTTTTTTTTGTTTTTGTTTTTTGTTTTTGTATCAGGATTTTGTTGCAGTCATGAAGAAACAATTTAATATCTCCTACAGTATAAGTTCTGTTGTGTATTTTCCATTTTCCTTACATAGAAAAAGAGGAAAACAGAACACTGGCTTGTGTCTTCCTTTCCAGCTTGGTCATCATTTCTTAGAATCACTCTAGGTCAAGATAAGAATCAGGCAATCATTTTGGGGCAGAGCTTTCAATGCTCCCATAATCTCAGAGATGTCCCCGGGGAGAGACACTTGAGGGAAACAGTGCCTTGCTTTCCTGTATTTTTTTTTTTTTTTGCTATCATAGCAAAAACCATAGACTTAAATGTTTGTTCATTTTGTTTCCTTGTTGCAGAAGTCAGAAATCTGGGGACTGTGTGTCTCAAAGGGCTGAAAACAAGAGGTGGACAGGCCTATCTTATTTTCTGGAGGCTCTAGGGGAGGATTCCTGTTCACTGGAGTCATTGTTAGAACCCAGTTCCTGGCAGGTAAATGTACCCATTTCCTTTCTAGAAAGCAGCTGCAAACAATTCAAAGTTTTAAGAGAATGCACACATGATTTGCTATTGATCTGTTTCCTTTACCTTTGCAGCCAGCAACAGGAGAAACATCCCTCTGTCTTACACTTTTTTTTTTTTTCTTTTTTGGAGACAGGGTTTCACTATTGGAATCCTGGCTGTACTGGAACTCACCACATAGACCAGGTTGCCCTTGAACTCATGGAGATCTACCTGTCTCTGCCTCCTGAGTGCTGGGATTAAAAGTGCGTGCCACTGCATCTGGCATTTTATTTGTGTGTGCGTGCGTACGTGAGTGCGTTCGTGTGTGTGTGTGTGTGTGTGTGTGTGTGTGTGTGTGTGTGTGCAGGTACCACAGTACATTGGTGGAAGCCAGAGGACAACTTGGTGAAATTGGTTCTCTCCTTCCACTATGTGGGTCCCAAGGATCAGACTGAAGCTTGGTAGCAAGTGCCTTTATCCTCTGAACCATGTCCCAGCTTCATATCTTGTGGTTCCTAATAAACCTGCAGAATTTCTTTTGTCCTGGAAGATAACATAATCACACATGCAGCAATCTTTGGAGATTCATTGTTCTGTCTACCACACCAGTGACATTCAAAAAGATGTGACTGGGAAGTAGTCTTCAGCTTCTGCTCCTCGGTGAACACTCAGCTGAATCCAAGGTGCGTCATCATCCAGGCTCTGCACCCTGTGCATTCCGTGGGACGTGTCTGGGGCTGGAGAGATGGCTCAGCCATTAATGGCTAGGCTCACTGCCAAGAAGACAAGTGTTTAAAGACAACGTTTTTATAGCAGATGGGCTAAGAGCAGGGACATAGGTAAAGGGAATGGGATGAGTAGAGTTTTCTTTTTCTCCCTAGATGGAAAAACACAGCAACTCATGACCCTGCTGAAATGGTGCTAGGAAGGAATTCATGCCACAAAGAGCTACCAGGTTGGCATAGTGGAAATTAGCCTCACCTCACTCTTCCCTTCTTCTGTAGTAAAAGTTTTACTGAAACACATGACTACCCAACTAGGAATGACATTTCTCAGATCCCCTTGCAGCCAAGCTTCTGGATAGCATTGGGTTGACCTGGTATGCTCCCACCCGATAACTGGGAGAGAGGTTGAGGCACCCAGCTGTGTGGGCTTCTAGCTGCATTCTGGGTTTCCTGCTCAGAAACTGTTGGCAGAAGTGACTTCTAGACTTGACCCATGGAACTCTGTTAGCAATGAGCTTCACTGCCTCCTAATCTCCTAATCAGACCTGGAAGGACTGCAGGCCCTTTCCACCAAATGCTGGGACAGGGCGTTTTCACTGGGTTTCTTCTGACACCCAGACAACACAGTGTGAAATGCTGTGAAGTTTGTATTTTCTCATTACAATAATGGGAAACAGAACTTTTAGGGGGCAGGTGACAGAGCCTCACAACAGAGTCAAACAATTATGTTTAGTACAATGTGGTACAGAGAAGGGATGGTAACGAGAATGCTATGATGTAAAACCAATGGCCAGTCCACTGAGGGTCCGCTTTACACAGTAGAGGAAATAGCTTGAGATCTTCCATGCAGTAGCTAAGACCTAAGCAGGTGTGTAGACAGGTGAAGACCAGACGCCACAGCTGAAGAGTCTGCACACATACACGTAAGCACACACTTTAGACACATATATGTGTATATATACACATATATAGCTAATTAGATGAAGGGTTATTATGAAAGGAATAACCATGTCCTGGGGCCTCTAAAACTCCTTCCACATAACATATCAAGCTAGTAAATCATAAGCAATATAACCCATAAGGGGCTGTGGGGAAAGGCTCCTTCCCCTCTGTTTGATGGTGGCCATGAGGTAAGCCAACATGGGGACGAACAAGAACATTCAGGAACTATGGAGGAGGAAGTAGTCTGGTGAGATATGCTTCCTTCTTGGAGTCCTCTGCTGATGCCTCTGCTCTGCAGGGCTCACACTCCACCAGGCCAGATAAAGTGTGAGACTGGAAAAGATGCCCAAACCAAGACAAGTCCCATGAGGATTCCAGTGTACCCTGTGACTGCGAAGTCCCAAAGGTGGGCTCACAGCAACCCTGAGAGGCTGGAGTTCTCGCTGGGTTGAAGATTCCTAGGAGAGACTCTGAGCTTCTCCTCATTGATAGAGACCATGAAGCTAGAAGAAATCCTGAGACTCAGTGCACCAGCAGCCTAGACACCAGCACACGGAGATGCACAAGCTTGACATCTGCCAGCTGAGGAAGCCAAAAGGCCACAAAATCCACCACGCTGTTCTTGCTGTGTAGCTTGGGGAAGGAGTAGAATGTCCATCTTCACTGATACTGCTAATAAAAGCAGTGCCTGTGAATCACACCTTGAGCAATAGTTAGACAGCCCCAGAATATCTGTCTTATAGTAGTTGCTGCTGCTGTAACAATCTGCAAGCAGGCAGGGCAGTAATGCCTGTATCAGCTTGGAAAGTCCTGTTTGGCCAGCCAAAGAGTGTTGGGCCTGGGAGATGACTCAGTGGCTAAGAGTGCATGCTGGAGAGGTGGCTCAGCAGTTAAGACCACTGACCTTTTTCAGAGGACCCAGATTCAATTCCCAGCACCTACATGGCAGCTCACAACTGTCTGTAACTCCAGTTCCAGGGTATCTCATATCCTCACACAGACATACATGCAGGGAAAACACCAATGCTCATCAATTAAAAAGAAAAAGAGTACATGCTTTTGCAGAGGATAGATTTCAGTTTCCAGTGCCCATGTCAGGTAGCTCACACTGCCTGTAATCCCAGCTACGGGAGATCCAACTAGCTCTTCTGGACTCTGTGGGCAACTGCCCTCATGTGCACATACTAACAAAATTAGAATAATAATAATAATAAAATTAAAGATGATAAGAAATGAATCCTAATAAACTGCAGGGTCCTATCTCTTTGATGTTTGAAGGAGCCCAGGGGCCCAAGGCACACTGGAAATCCTTTCTATGGAGAAGGGCAAGTGGGTGGTAGTACCTCCCACAACCCACCAAAAGGAAACAGAGCATGTGACAAGTCTCTCTGGGTTCTGATGAGAACATAGACCACATCTGGGCACATGGCACCAAGCTGTGAAAACCCATTATAGTCACTCTTGCTTTAAGTGAAGCCAGAGAAAAGGACAGAGGACAGCATCCGAGCCAGCTGTCCATCCTCACTAGATGTGTGTATGCTTGGAGACTGCCAAATGGCAGAGAAAGCACTGCTGGTTTTGGAAGAAGCCCACACTGTCACTATTCCTCATTTGAAAAACTGTTCTTAGCTCACTGCTGATAGGAACAAAACATTACACTTGGGTACAGTAAGTGACCAGGTAGCCTGAACCACCCTTCATAAACCAGATATTGTAATTAAACTATAAAACTGTACACATGCACCAACATTCCATTATAAAACAGAAGCTATAATTAGACAGCCCTTGGTAGGACAAAAAGTACTCTTTTTTAAAAAACAAAAAGCTATAGAATGCTTCGTGAATTTGCATGTCATCCTTTCACAGGGCCATGCCAATCTCTGTATTGTTCCAGTTTTAGTATATGTGCTGCCGAAGCAAGCACCAGAACATACTCTTAAACACCCAAGCAAACATGTAGACTTGTGGCTTGTCGGCAGTTGATACAGACTCAGACAGACAACAACTTAAAATATCAGTCACTACAGGCATTTTATGCCCAAGTTGGAAGAGAAGAAAGGAACAGCTGAAGAGCATGTCGATGGCTGTTCCAATCCTCCAGGTAGAATGCTTCGGGAACTCGGCACTCTCCACAGGATGCCTGGTTATCTGCAATACTGTGACTCTTCATGTCTGTGCAACCAGAATCTACATGGGTAAATGTCCCCAGATATTCTGTTCTTTCCTTGAGAGATTGTACTTCCACTTGCCCTTTGTAGTAGAGACTGTGCCCTGTGGTTCAGGCCATGGTACCTCAGGTGAAAGGCTAAAGTGTTTCATTCCTGGTGTGTGTATTCAAACCTCTGCCATGGTTTGACTCTGAAATGCCAGATTTGAATGTTTGCCCCGAGCTGGTGGTGCTGTTTGTTGGGAGCCTGTGGAGCCTGTAGGACATAGAGCCTCCCTGACAGAAGCAGGTCATAGGCCAGGGCCTTTGGAGGTTACATCTGCTCCTGGTTCCTGGCCTGCACTCTGTGTCTCCACACATACTTCCAATGCCGTCCACTAAGCTGTTCTACCATGCCTTCTGGCCCTGATGGGTGGAAACCCCGAGAAACCATGAACCAAGTAAGTCTTTTCTTCCCCGAAGTCAATTCTTTCAGGCTTTGTGGTCACAGCAATGTGAAAATCTATCAGGCCCTCCCAGCACTCTCTTCCTTACTCCAACGAGCCATGCTAAGTGTACGGTGGCTCTACACTGAAAATTGCCAAGCCCTGACATTTCCTTCACATAACCTAGAGGAAAGGATTTATTTATTTATTTATTTATTTATTTATTTATTTATTTATTTATTTATTTTGTGTGTGTGTGTGTTGTCTGCCTCACCCGTGTGCCTGCTGCCCATGGAGGACAGGGCATAGGACTCCCTGGAGCTGGAGTTATGAATGGTTGTGAGCAGCCATGTGGTTTCTGGGAGCAAGCCCAGGTCCTCCGAAGGGCAGCCAGTGCTGTTAACTACCATCTCCCCAGCCCTAGAGGAAAGAACTTAAAGACATGGAAGAGAGGGGCATGGAAGTGGATTTTTCATGTGTTGTTAACCTAGGCATCAAATTCTGACTTTTATCCCCCCAAATGCGGCCCAGAGAAAAGCGTTTGTCAGAGAAGTGGTGCCGCCTGCACACTGCTTTAGTGGCCACTTCCTGTGATTGGAGCTGCCGCTGGAGAGCAACGTAACTAGTATAGGCTCTGCAAACAATGAAGGCTGGGGGAAATAGACGCAGGAAAAAAAACAACTAGCAACATTTCATGGCCTAAAGTATCTAGAGGGAAAGTGGTTACAGTTGCAAAAAGCAGCGGGCCTGATATAAAAATGATCCAACTTCATTTGGAAACTAAACAAAGGATGCCATTAGGCAGGCAAAGACAGGGAAGGGCATGCATGACTTATGACTCTGTGCAAGCTGCTATAGTTTGAGTGATGAGTGTCTCCTGAAAGCCCATGTGTTAAAAGGTGTGGTCTCTAGGATGCTGCTGCTGGGAGGTCCTTAGGGCCCTGGGAACATGCTTTCAAGTGGGTCCCTCCCTGTTCTCTTCTGCTCCTTGTGCCCTGTGCATCCTGCTGTGGTTGTCTTAACAGCAATGTCGGAGGCCCTAAAATCTATGGATCCATTCAATCAGCCTTGTAATTTGTGAGCTAAAGTACACCCATTCTCGCTATTAGTTAATTGTCCCAGTATCTTGTTATAGTGACAGAAAGGTGACCAACACTTAAACTAGCAGTATAGCTTCCTACAATCCATTGGTGTCAGCAGAAGACAAGAAACACAGGCCACGATTACTCCTAAGACAGCAGTCAGAACGAACAGGAGCACTTGCAGTAGTGCCCCTTGTCTTTCATGTCCCAAAGGCTTATGTGAAAAGGCCACTTGTATGCTTCAGGTACAGTGGCATAGCTGAGAAACTAGACTTAGAATTTCTAGGCTTCTTTAGTGAACCACAAGCTAACCTGACCAAAACATGTCCTGGAGGGAGTCTTTTCTTACAACCTCAGGAAAATGTGTGCTCCCCACCTGAAGCTGTTTATAAACACGCTTGAGAAGATTCTCTAGAATAAAAGCTGATAGAAATCATGTAACATTGTCTTCTAATAAGAACTAAACTACCCTAACTAGACATATAATCCAAGTAGGAAAACTAGGACTAAAACTAACTAAAAAAATATTTTTAACAGGAACTATAGCCCCATCCCAATGTTACACCAATCTCTATCCCTTAACGCTAATCATATGAACTTTAAAGTTCACATAGCTCCATTTTTAAGTTTGTAGCTAACCCTATTTCTAACGCCAGCTCTAAGTTTACCCTAAGTGTAAAACTAACCATAACTGGAATCCTAGCAGTAATACTAAAGAAAAAAATTTAAAAAAGAACTAAACTCTAAAACCAGACTTACTTGCTTTTCCTCTCTCTGACACCCTCACCCACACCACATACACACACACACACACACACAAACACACACACACACACACATACACACACCCCACACCACACACACACACATCACACCACACCACACCACACAGATACACACCACACACACACACACACCATACACACCATACATACCACACACACACACACACACACACACACACACACACACAGAGCACCCCACACACACACCACACACATACACTACAATGGGTGAATAGAGGGTCAACTCCGGTCAATCTGGAAAAGTTGCTGGCTTGCTCTCCACTTCCCAAGACAGCACACAAACCAAGAGTCACTATAATAAAGGTGAGGCCACGTAACCTTACCATAAAGAACAGTTGGGAGATAATACCAAGTCCCCTCAGGCTTGTCAAGGAAACCATCAGCAGGGTAAAGAGAAACAGTCATACTTTTTGTTACTGTAGAACAACTTTTTTTTTTTTGAATGAACACTAATTGCCACACAATCCTAAACAAGATTTCTGACTAATTCATTCAGGATTCCAGCTGAAAACACATGATAAATTATATCAAGTGGAGGGACGATTTACAAAAGGTGTCAGCAAGGAGCACTGAAGCCATCTGGGACAGTTGTGTAACATGTCACTAGAATATGGAGTTAGACAGACTGTGTGCAAGGCCATCTGAAGACAGGCTTTGTACAAAACCCCTGAACAGAGCGTTGACTGCACGGACACACCCATCAGCTGGGTGGAAGCAGGCCATTCTCCAGCCTTTTTCACCCATTCTTGCTCTCTGCTGGTGAGATTTAGTGGAGGCCAGAGAACTAGGGAGGCTGCTGCTGGGCCTGGAGCATGACAGAGCAGGGGAGAGGATGGGTTTGGCATGTTAAACGGAAGGAACTCAACTCAGCACAGCAAAGCCGAGAGCATTAGAAGTAATCCTTAACCTAAAACATTCTGGCTCCCTACTGCTTTCACTACTGGCTAACTTCTTTAAAACTACTATTATGAGAGGGAATGAACTAGAAATCAGGTGTGTGGGACCGAATTCTGCCTACATTTATACTACACAGTGTTGCTTACTATTATTCCACATCTGAATAAATATCATTGATTTACATTTTACTTGCTAGTGAAATTGGTAGACGCATCACCATCTTCATTCCCATGTTATCCAGAGAAAATACTATCTGTTACGGTTTTCTAATATGCCCTCATTTGCATGTGACCACTGAACCAACCTGACACAGACTTGACCCAATTATTTCAGCCGTCTTCACATTTGATTCTTATCACCAAGGTTTCATTGAACTGAATGGCCATAGACACTGACAAGAGCACCTTGGCTCCATGGCATAGGCTCAGCTTTGCTTAGTTGGTCACCTTGCATAGAAATGTCGGCCTCAAAAATCAGTTAAACATCCCTGGAAGGGTGCTGCTGACCCATTCAAATTCACTCCATTTGAATTTTCAGCTGCACTGCCATCGGCATTTTAAAAAAGTATGATACAGTGTGACAGGTGTCCTGAAATCAGGGCTGTGTGTCTCTGGAAAGAGCAAATGGGTGACAATATCTAGATCTGAAGTTTACAATAACACTGAGCCAACTGTGAGGTGAAAGTCGTATCTGTGTGTTTCTATGGAAGAGGTGAAGCAAGGCAGAGAGAGCAAATTTTAACCTTGATAATTAGTAGACATTTGTGCAAGAAAAAGTAATACCCAAGAAAGCCCAATGGCCTAGTTTCTTTCCAATAATAGTTTAACCTCTAATACTTCTAATAATGAGCTCTTGTTATGTTATTACATATTGCATTATTTATATGTTGTCTTTATTCAGGGTTTACAGAAATTCAACTTTAGGAAGAGATTGTAGTTTTTCTTATTCAGGTTATTTTAAGGTTGGGAAATTTTAATTTTATTAGGGTGTGTGAGTGTGTGTGTGTGTGTGTGTGTGTGTGTGTGTGTGTGTGTGTGTGTATGTGAGTGTGTGTATACCAAATCTTACAGCTGGCACAGTTTTTGTTTTTCATTACAAAATAATTTGTCAGGGCTCGGTAGATAACTCAACAGGTAGAGGGTAAAGGGCTTGCTGTGCAAATGTGAGGACCTGAGTTCAGGTCCCCAAACATACATACAGATGAGTGTGGTAGTGTGTGCCTGTAATCCCACAGCTCTGATGGTCATATGAGAGAGACAGGAATCTCCAGAAGCTTGGGGACCAGGTAGCCTGCCATTCGGGATACACAGACCAGGAAGCCCTTCCTCAAAAGGTGGCAGGACTGGAGAGATGGATCAGCACAAAGTTAAGAGCAGAAGAGCAAGTTCGGGTCCCAGCACTCAAGTCTGACAGGTTTGATGGTCTGTAACTCCAGATCCAGGGCACCCAGTGGCCTCTGTATTCTCCTTAGGCATGGCACTCACACATACAAACACACACAAATGTAAACATACTAAAAACTTCTTTTAAAAGGTGGATGGCAAAGT